GAGCCACAGCAGCTTGAAGACCTTTTGGAGAGGTGGTGCCTCCTGGCATGGGGCAGCCAAACCTACTGCCTTTCACAGAAATAGAATTTGTCTCTTGGAGGTGGCAGATCTGAAACCTGATAAGTTTTCTTCTGGCACAACTGGCTTCCAGTCTGGGACACACAATCCAGCACATAACATTTGAAATCTTCCTGATACTCTTCCCTATATTTTACTGACTCCCAAAGGAATTTTCTGGAGTCTTACTATAACCACCTGTAGGACAAGGAAGTTGGAATCATATATTTTTATTAAGTTGTTAGTTGCTCATTTTCTATGTAATTTTCCTCGTGGCTGAACATAGTATGATAACATATGGGTTTGGTAGCTGGGTTGTCACAATACAGGGTTTTTATTACTCAAGGGTCCTGATGGGAAAAAAGGTGAACAGAAGTCAGTGATGTTCCCTGGCAGCACAGAAGGTCAGTGCCATCCTGGGCAATGCTACCAGCAGGTTGAGGGAGATTATCCTTTCCCTTTTTGTCAGTCTTGCAGTGCTGAGTCTGATTCTGGGTTTCCCAGTACAAGGGAAACATGAACACGCTGGACAGAGTTCAGCAGAAGGCCACAGATATGAGGGAGGCCCTGGAGTATGTCTTTTACGAGGAAAGGCTGAGAGCTGGAGCTGATCAGCCTGGAGAAGAGAAGGCTCAGGGGGATCTTAGCAATGTGTATCAATATTTGATGGGAGGAGTGAGGAAGACAGAGCCAGAATGTGGTCGGGGGTACACATTTGCTACAACAAGAGACAAGGGGCACAAAGTGAAAGACAGGAATTTCCATTTAAACAGAAGAAAAAAAATATTCACTATGAGGGTGAATGCCCCACAGGCTATGGAGTCTCAATCCATGAAGATATTCAAAACCCGATGGGCATGATCCTGATCAATCTGCTTTAGGTGGTGCTTCTGGAGAAGAGAGGATGGACTACGCAGTCTCCGGAGGCGCCCTCCAGCCTCAGCCAATCCGTGGTTCTCTGATTACCATACAGCACATAGTTTGTGGTTCAAGTGATAACAAAGGCTTGCATTTTTTCACTTTGATGATGTTTGCTTATTATAAGTACTTTACAGCTTATGGGTTTAATCATAATAAAGGAAAACATTTTTATTGTTGTTCTGCATTAAGAAATACTGAATGTTGTACCCAAATGTTTGCCAATGAGAATAATTGACTTGATAATAATCTTGGTCTGGTGATCTTGTAAGGTGATGGGGGTATGATGGATGGGTATGGGCTGAAGAAGATCACGTGGAAAGATTTGAGCCTGGTGCAGAAACCCATTAGGAGTCAAGAGAGCCTTTTGTGACCTCTATCATCCCAAGAAGGGAGAAACTTAGCATCAAAGCTGAGGAGAAGCTGGTGAGAAGAGAGGCTGCTTCTCCTTATGTGTGAGAATTGCTGGCAGGCACTGGCTTGCCAAGTTTGCTGCTGCTGGCTCCTTTCACTGGGAACTTTACCAGGAGGCTGTTTATTCCCATTCCAGCTTCAAGAGAGAGCCCTGGCCTTTATAGACCTGCAGGGATGAGGCTATGAAAAAAATGTAATGTTTTTGCTCCCAGACCTTTTCTGTTCATTTATACTGTTTAATCTGTGTGTTGTATCCCTTCTGTTTACTTGATTTCCAGAGCTTAAGCAAAGCGTCTTTTTTCACATCTGCACATTTCCTTTCATCCCATTCATGCCTGAAAAATATTTAACAATATTTCTAGTGGATGCTCTTGCCAGATTTACCTTTCAGAATTTTTTTTTCATTTACAAAGTCAGTGTTTTATAGCACAAAGTTATTTTTTTATTTATTTTTTGATCCACATTTTTGGACTGCTGGGAATTGACTGGCATTTTTGGCATTGAGTTGTGATCCACAGTAACCAGCAGACTGTCAATCTTTCATCATCTTAGACTTGTCACTCCAACATAATATAAAATGAAGGTTTAGGATGGATTGAGGAGCTGTATGAATTTGTAAGTTGACCTTTCTCTCCTCCTCCCATTCTCTTCCTGCCAAAGCAATGATATCCTTGCCTTTCATGGCATAGTTATTTGGGCATGCAGTAAAATAAAAACAATAAAAAATAAAAAACAAGGGCAAAACAGGTCTGCTCAGTTGCTTTAATTATATATTTCTAATTGAACCTCCTTATTTTCCATTAATTTATGCAACAGCTTCCCTTCACTTTGTTTCTGTGCAATGATGCTTTAGAAGCAGTGTGCCTGCTCACAACACATGGATACCAAGTGGCACTGCTGCCTATGTGTAGGGGCATGGGGATTTCTCTTGCATTAGGAGGACAGCAGGGGTGACTCCATTTTAGGCTGCTCCAACTCCCCAGATGATCAGAGTCCTCTAAATCCTTCTGCCACAGGTCATCTCTGACCTGGGAACAGGCAGGTTGGGGGGCAGTGGTGAGGCTATGATGTGAGGCTCCTCCAACACTCATTGTGAATGTTTGGACACTAATGGCGGTTTCTGTAGGAGGAGAAGCGATCTTGATCAGGCTTTCCCTCAACCATCACCAGTTCTTACCTTGTGATGGTGAAGAGAAGACCCTGACCAGGAGGGGCTGTTAGTTACATTTTGATTTCTCATGTCCTCTTGCAGCACCAGCCGGGTTTTCCCCCATCGTGATGCAACAGGAATTTTGTGGAAAATTACTTCTGTGCAACTTAGGCATCTTCATACAGGAGGAGGAAGAGCAGGCTACATTGCCAAGAAAATTGTTCCAGATTGCCATAGATACTCTCACTTGCAATATGAAGCCAAACAAGAAATACTGAGCACTGGGGGTTTTCTGGGCATTTGTTTTTTATTACAGCACAGTCCTGCACAACTGTTTCCTGTAATTCCCTGTTAAAACACCGTACCTTGCAGCTGCTAGCTACTATTTCTCAAAACAGACATCTGTGTAGATCTCTGTAGCTATGGATTGGCCACATAAAACAGCTCCTGTGTTGGCCTTGAGTGACTCTTAAAATTAAGAGAGCACTGAAATGCCACAATTCAAATACATGTAAATGGTTCACTGATGCAACCAGTGTTTTTCAGAGCTGGTGCCCTCTAGAGCTAACCTGCTTGTTTTTCTCAATTCGGTATAACTACTTAGTTTGTTAACAAGTAGAAAAGCAAGACATTTGTCAAAATGCAGCATTGCTTGCTTACAGCAGAAATGTGACCATTTTGGCTTGAAGTTTCTGAGTTGGTTCCTCTCCACACACTAGTATTAAGATCTTTTCTATCTGCTTCTTTCTCTACAGAGAGCACCAAGTATAAAGCCACCAACCTCTTGTTACCTACTTTCAAGTTCAGGGCATGAAGAACTAACTAAACATTTGTTTGACATTATAAAGGAGCTGGGGCATATTTATGCTTCCTACTTACAGCGTGGAAAGCATGTGATACACAGAACAAGGCCCTAGAGCTGTTTGCTCAAATAATGCTGGAAGGCACAGTAAATGGAGTTACAGGAATACACTTGTAATGCACTTCTAGGCCTGGTTTTTCTTCCTCAGCTGGAGAACATTTTTTAGGCCACGCTTCAGTTTCTCCATTGATAAAATGTAAAGGATGTTTTCCAGTGTCCTTTCCAATATACCATTTGAATGCCAGTAAAAATACCAAATTTAACACAAATCAGATTACACTGCACAACTCCCTCCGTCACCTCTTGTGATGTTTTCACTGGGTGTTAGGCAGCAACCCTCAGTTCTTTCCTTTTTTTTCCTCTTGGCTTTCTTAGGACTTCTAAAATAGTTTGAGGCCAGCATTGAGCTCCATGGGTTTGTTGGCATAGCTGTGCCAGCTTGGATTTTGAACGGCTCTCTCCCAGCCAAGGCTGCTGGGCTGGCAGCGCAGTCCGAGTGCTACTCTGTTGGTAGAGACACATCAATTTGAAGGCGGCATTCTCTCCTCTTTTTTGTCAACTGCCTGCATTGCCTTTGAAGCAAGTTATGTGTTTCCAGTCTGCTTCTAGTCATGTGTGTGCTACAGATTTAAAAAAAAATGCTCCGCTGACATCAACTAAAATATTTATGTATGTGTGTGGTCAAAATAAAATGGGGAGATTTTTTCCTTTAGCTGAGTTGCACTTTGGGAAGCAGGCAGTGATGAAACACGGTGACAAATATGGCCCAAATAATTTTGAATTGTTTATCATAGTTAATGCATATCAAAGTTGGCATGTGTAGGTTATAAAGAGGATGTTTGGTTTTCTGGAGCATTATTTTCTCAATTTCACATACAACGCTGAGAAACAAGATGACCTGAATTTTTACTGTCCAATATGATGGATACTATGAAGCTTCTGCTAAGGGTTCTAGATGTTGACAGTGAGAGGTCTTCTCATCTGACATGCCAGCAGTAAAGAAGGTTAGTGGGGCACTGGAAAGCTGGTTTTTTACCCAGCTGCGTTCCCAGTCAGATTTCCCCCGTGATTTCCGTAGATGGCATAATCACATTTCCATGTGTATTGGACAAAAATGGGTCCTGAAATAAGTCCACACTGTTACCAAAGCAAAAAGTATGTCCATCTTTTGTTTTTTCTCCAGTGGATTGCCCCCCCAGTCACAACTCTGATAATCCATGACCGGGAATATTTTGTACTGCTATTTGTTGCTACTTGCACACAAAGAATTGCTTTGGTTTGTAGAGGTATGACCTCATCATGCTCTTGAAGTTGCAGTTTCTGAAAGACAGAAGAGATTTTCCTATTGGAAGTTGAAACATGACATATATGACTTATTTTTAGCTCTGCAAGAAGACTTGAGGTTTTAGGAAAAAAGGATGTTCCCCATTCAGCAGATTCTTATGAAGCTCCCGGTCAATAGGTTGGAAAGATGGATGCATTGACTAAAATCATTTTGAGGTTACTGGTTTGACAGAAAAGGTGTTATTTTAATGCTTATATTGCTTTATTTTGCAAACTTAAGTGTCTTTTTGTTTGTTTTCTGTTTGTTTCCCACAGAAACGTTCCAGAGGTCAAGTGCTATTTGACAAAGTGTGTGAGCATCTGAACCTTTTGGAAAAAGACTACTTTGGGCTAACATACAGAGACACAGAAAACCAAAAGGTAACCCACAAAAATGCAGGTGGCCTTTGCCATGTCAACATCAGAACTCCCTGAGACACTCCACAGACAGCTACAAACAATCCAGAAGTTGGTTTTGTCTTCCTTAGACACAGTTTGAGCAATTGTTTCTTTGTGACTCTACTTCTCAAGACCATCTCCTGTGTTTCCCTCGGTTCCCTCTCTTTCAGCAATTTATGACATAGAAGGTATTAATCATATAGCTGGTGCTCTTTCTAGTATGATTTATTCCTTTACTGTCAAGATGAAAGTCAAATTTACACTTACAGATACACTGCAAAACATATAATACTAAAATATGGCTTAATAATAGTGGTTTGGACACAAATAGGCAGGAGATGTCTGACTGTTCCTGCTAACTGCTAAGATAAGGGATGGCTCTTAGCCTTGACTTTATCTTAGCATTGTTGTTGATTTGACTAAAGACATTAGTCTTCAGAAGCAGTTGGTAACCACAGTGAATCACATTCTGCTTTCCTGCATTCCAGCTTCCATATGAAACAAGCTGTGCATTACAAGTGTTGAAGATGATCTAATGTGAAGGTGTTTGGGACATGGTACCATGAGAATATCAAAGGATCATTTAAAATATGTTGTGCTATTTTGGCATTTTAAGATAAATATTTTAACAGAAACCAATACAAAACCTCTTAGCTATATGCACAGCAGCTCAGCAGAGCTCACAGCTGAAGGTATTTTGTGCTTTGTGTGGCCTCAAAGGTCTTCCCTGATGGAGCTGGAGCTACTACTACTTTTTAGCTGTTTATGTCTTGTGGGAGCAATAGTTGTGTTTTCTATGCTTCCTTTTGTTTCAAATATATATGATATGAAAGAAATCGGTCTTTCTGTTTGTTTTTCCCCTTGCTTTACAGACTTCTTTGTTTCTAATTCAGAAAATCGCTTAAGCAGATACTTGGTCCATGCCAGCACAAGATCATGCCTAATCATGTGCTTAGTTTTGAGTTTTGAAAAAAGCTAGGCAGAAATCTAAGTGCATTTTCAGATAGGTATGCTTTCCTATGGGAAAGAGAAGCATGGATTCATTACTAACATGTGGTTTAGAAGCACTAAATATTTATAGGTCACCAGTTACTTTACAGACCTGAACAGTTAAAAGAACAACTGCCTGCCACCCATTTTATTGATCAATAACATGCATATTTTTAATGTCAAAGTACTTAGCAATTCATCTCCATCCTCTGGCACATAACTTCCAGCCAGACAACATACGTGCCCACATCCCATGTCATCTTTCTAAACAGAAACCCTAATGTGTCTTTAACTTCCTGGTGCATAATGTCCTCTTGTGCTCAGCAATAGCTGGAGATCTTCAGGCTCAGGTTTTGCACCACAGAGCAGGTTTGGACAGCTGCAAACTGGTTGTTTTTGTTGGGGAGGGATTGTTGTTCTGCTTGTTTGGTATTTCTTTAGTGTTTTATTGTCTCTCTGATACATTTGTTTATCTTTCTTTGGAGAAAGTGGAACTTTCCTGGGGAAAGTGAACTTTTTGTTCTGGGCTCTGACGCATTTTAAATATTAATTTGATTCTCTTAGAGGTCAAGACAGCAGAGGCACTGAGATCCCAAGCTGCTGTGTGCCTCCTCCAGAGGAATTTCATCTGCCTCTTGGCATGTATGGAGTACTAACACATTACTGGGATAATTCTCCACCTCCTCAGCAGGGGTTTTGTCTTGCATAGTCACTGGGCTCTGCATGGTGTGGATGCGGGCAGAGGTACTGTGGTTCTGCCTCTGATTTTCCCTGAAGAACCCCTCATGCCCATGGTGCATTGCAAACATCTCTACTCTGCACTTGCTTATCCTCTAGCAAGTCTTTTCAGCCTTTCCAGGATTGGAGGAAAAAAAAATCAATCAAAAACACCTCTTTATAACAAACTAGTAGAAATGCAGTTTTCCCTGAAGATACTCTGCAAAAAAAGATCTCTTTGGGTTCATTTTGCAATTCCCATTTTTTTATTATTTTATTTCAAATCATTCAGGCCCTCAAAGTCTGTGAAGGTTAATAAAAAATCCTGTTTCTACCAAGTGCCATGTCTTGAAAATTAGGGTTAGCCCTGCCTACTGCTTCTCCAAGGAGAAATGGGTGGAAGAGCTTCACATGTTCTAGCTTTGAGTCATAACACTGTTTTAAAAATAACGTTTATTGTGTTTTCTAATTCAAATTGAAAAAAGGAAACATTTTCTTTGCAGAATTGGTTGGACCCTGCCAAGGAAATCAAGAAGCAGATCCGAAGTAAGTTTGTTATCGTTGCCCCCTTCTACACGTCTCCCCATGGGGACAAAGCGTATTTCACAATCATCTTTTGTATCCTATCCCAAGTCTTTGGCAAAGGAATTATGTACATCCTTTATAGATTTTTTACGCTATGATGATGGTGAAGCATTACTGATGCTCGTAACACATGAACTTGCGTTGCTGAAAACAACTTGACATTTGCAGTGATGCAAAATCCTGAAGTTTGACATTAAGCAATGTAACCTTAGGGACTAGGCCATGTATTTGAATTATTTCTTGCATTACTGATATTTATATCTTATCCAGAAACACTGCTCATGCCCCATACTGAAATAATTCACTGACACAAAATAGTACTCTATCTAAAATACCTTTTCTTTCTTCATTTCAGAAGATTGATCTCTGTTCCAAAAATTACCATGAATTTTCTGATTCACATTAATCTTTTTAAAAGCTCAGTTGTTATAACTAGGCATCTAGTTATAAACTTATACTAAGTTTCTACTAAAAGCAAATATATATATTCTAAATCTCTATTTCTATTTCACTTTGTGGCTTCATATATTAGAAATTCAAAAACCACTCAAAGGAAAACCTTTTTGAGACTGCTGGGCTCAAAACTTGACTTGCATTTTTTTTACTTCCCCTCACTTTTAAAAATTGTCAAAATACTTATGTGTATGACTTTTGTGGGCAGAAAAGCCCCAGTAATTTTTTTTCTTTGCACATTTTGTAAATGACCTCTTCTAACACTTTTGCTTCCACAAACAAATGTATCTGGTAGTTCACATTAGTTGGGTAATGCCTGGCAAAAGAAATCCCTTCCCTCTCCAAGATTAAAAGGGTTAGTTTACAATGGTGGGAAAATTTCCTCACTTACTGTGAGGAATTTCCCCACTTACTGTGAGAAACTTCCCCTTTTCTCCAGTATTATTTTCATTACAAGTAAGTGATCTGCAAAACAAAGTAATGTACATTTGCCTTTCTAAAATCTCATAAAGGGATGGATCTGGAGAGGAAGGTGCTTTAGACCACGATGAGTCAGGTTACAGATGGTCAATGCAAGTACAGCAGCTCAGCTCCCCACCACATATTTGAAATGCATTTAATATGCACCCAAGCCATGAAATAGACAATGAAAGGTTGTGACAGTGGGAGATTAACCAGGGCAGAAGAGTCTCATCCTGGACTTGAGGCAGTGGACAGTTGTATTTGCAGAAAATGACAGTAATAATTTGCTTTCTGTGTACACTTCATCCCAGAAGTTTGGAATAGGCCAACAGTGGAAAAGTAGTGCTGTTACCCATAATGTTTTCCAAAACATGTATATATAGTCCTGCTAAACGCTGGCTGAGTTGTACAACATGCAGACCACACTGCTGGGAATTCATCCCAGTAGTTGAGAAAGGCCCTTGCTTCACATCCCGTTAGTTATAACCCACTAACTTCACAGAGTTAGGTTTTATTCCAATCCTGTAAATATGGGGTGAAGACTGCTTACTCCTCTGTCTTAACCATCTGTGCTATTATGATAGGCTTTATCATAGGTTTGATTTATTTTCGGTGCCAAGGAATAGATTTACAGGCCATGGTCCCTTCCATCTGTTGTGGAACCAGGTGTCGCCTCTGGCTGCATTCCCACCTTAGGAGTGGTCTTCTCTCTGATGGGACCATGCCCCATCCTCGCTGCCAGCCAAATCTTCCTTTCACCATCTTTTATGTCCCAAGATAATGGAAAAGTTCCTAGAATCAAGGATTCCATAAGTCTTGCCAAGAGCTGAACTCCTGATGGTGAACATCAAAACTCTTCTTGCACATTCATAGAATCATTGAATCGTTTGGATTGGTTGGGACCTTAAAGATCACCTAATTTCAACCCCTGCCATGGGCAGGGACACCTCCCACTAAACCAGGTTGCTCAAAGCCCCATCCAGCCTGGCCTTGAACATTAGAGATTAGATGTGTGGATAATCAAAGTGAATGGGACTTCCCATGGGATAAAATTTCCTTGTTGCTTGTAAGAACAGTGTGGTTTGGGGTTTTGTTATTGCTTTTCATTTGCGTTCAAGTCATGTGCTAGTGTAACCTGACCCTTTTTTTTCAGAATAGCTTCTAAATTTACCTTCCATGTTCAACTCTCTTTTTAAATCTTGAATTCTATCTTAAACCTATTTTTACAACACTTAAAACTAATACTCCAGAAATAATTTTGCTAACTCTTGAGATACAAACCAGTATCCATCCCATGGGTCTACTAAATTTAGTGAAATAATTAAATAAGAATTCCCCAGTGCTATGTACTTTTGCAGTCAAACTCTCTGTTTGTCCTTGCAGTTTTGTCTGCACAATAATTTATGTCTGCTGAAGAAAGGAGCTATGTGCTGAGGCAGCATTCTGAGAGGATGATGTGAGCTGATTTGGGCAGCTAGACCTCGGCACATCACCCTGCTCCAGATCCCATTCGTACTCTGGCTTGTGATGTTTCCTGTGCCTCTCTGCTTTGAGTTATTGGTTTTTAAAACTGTGTGGTGCTTACTTTCAATAAACCTTGTCCTCAGACTGAGGTGTTTTTTTTAGTATTAGTAATAAATTACTGCTCACTCAGAGTCCTCACTTCAGTGGAAATCCTGCTAAATAAGAAAAGAGCTGTAAAATCTGATCTGAACAGTATCTACTGTAATATCTTCAGTATGATGTGTGGGAAAAGTATTCTAAAACCTGTTCTTATTAATTGCTTGTCTGGGATATTTTTAAGTCTGCTGGTGATTGAATAGCATGAGCATCTCTGTTTGCATTTGCAGTGTACTTTCAGTCAATCTATGTTCTTTTCCAGGTGGTGCTTGGCAGTTTGCATTTAATGTGAAATTCTACCCTCCAGACCCTGCCCAGCTATCTGAGGACATTACCAGGTGTTTTAAACATTAAATACCTTTTTAGAAGTGGCTTAAAAGCTGTTCCTGGTAGCACTTACACTCTAATTATACAAGAAAATAAATGTTTTATATTCCAATTGTCTCTCTTTTTCATATGAACTTGTGGAAAATATGCAATACTTGGATAAAAAAGATAGTGTGAACAGTATCTATCCTCTGTGTTATGAAGAATTTTGTGTAGTTTAAGCCTAAACCCCAGATTTTTCAATATGTAAATTCCTTTGAGTTGATTTTAATATTCACAAAGGTGCCTGATGCTCATTTTTGCCAGTGGTAACAAGTTATTACTGTAAGTAAAATCATGACTGTGAAAGAAAAAGCAGTGAGATAATGTGGTTTCATGATCATACTGAATCCAAAACAGAGCAAGCACTGTATCAGCTACTTAGGGAAAAATGAACTCTTTCCCAGCTGAAGCCAGGATAGATGAGAATAAGCATGCATATGCAAATTTTGTATATCATTTGACAAAGTAAGCAATCGATGTGCATGGAATAGAGAATATGATGGTGATTAATAGCTGCTCCCTCCTCTCCAAGTTACTCAGCTCTGCTGATGCACCTCTACTCTTTGGTTTTGTATTCACATTGCAACCACAACAAAAAAAAAAACAAACAAACCTCACCTTACTTCCTCCTTGGAAGGAGGCACAAATGTTTTGATCCATCATGAGTTTTTGTGCCATCAGCAAACTGTTCCCCAGCCTGTTGCAACATTTGGCAGCCATTGAATATTTTTAACCTTCAGTGTTTTATGGACTATTTGTTGCTATTAAGGTAGCATGAAGCCTTTGGCCTTGATCAGGGTCCCCTGTGGTAGGTACTGTGCAGAAAGACAATGTGCCAAGAGTTCACAACTGAACAGAGGACTTCCAAAGGAAAGGATTGCTTTATTCCTCTTCAGACTCCTAAATTTCCCCTGGGAGCTCTACCTTTGCCACCAAACCAATGCTCTTCACTTTTTTTTCTGTTTTCATGTATCTGGTAAAACCTTCCACTGCATATTTCTGTGGTTTTAACAGCACTTACTGTTTAAATGTATTTTTGAGAAAGCAAAATATGTTGCTAAAGAGACAGCTTATGTTTTTTGAATGACTTGGGGTTCTATGAGAGTTTTAATTATTTTTTTCTCCTGAAAGAATTATCAGGTAGTTTTATATATAAGTGATTTATGATAGAAATCTGGTATGTTTAATGGGTATTTCTTCATCTAGGTCACTAAAGAAAGTAATAACTTTCTTTAGAGATCTCCATGCTGCTGTATAAATATAAGTTAGATGTTCCTACTCATAAATTAGGCAAGAGCTTGGGCTTTTGGGGGTTTAGGGATTGTTTTTACAAAACTATTATTACCCTTGTAAATGGCTGAAGATATCTGGACTTGGCTGTCTGCAAATGCAAATTGGAACCGAGACCTCTTTCAAGTGCTCGGGCGGCGCTTCTTTGGGGGCAGCGGTGGAGGAGCCCTGTCTGAGCTGCTCTGGTGCTCCCTTGCAGGTACTACCTCTGCCTGCAGCTGAGAGATGACATCGTTTCGGGTCGGCTGCCCTGCTCGTTCGTCACGCTGGCCCTGCTGGGCTCATACACCGTGCAGTCAGAGCTCGGCGACTACGACCCCGACGAGTACGGCAGCGACTACATCAGCGAATTCCGCTTTGCGCCAAACCACACTAAGGAGCTGGAGGACAAAGTGATCGAGCTGCACAAGAGCCACAGGTAAGCAGGGGGCATCAGTGTGAGATCTAGCCTGCTTCAGGTACCATCTTGGTGGATCAGGAGATGTTAAATTCTGCAGTGGTGTACTTAATATTTTTCTGGCAAGATTCCTCTGTGTGTCTTTGGATAGAGAAGAGCTTTGCAGCATGTGAGTTAACAGGGTCTGCACTAGAGTTGTGGCTGTGGTAGGTACCCAGCTGCATAAAGGGTATGACTATAGTTCTGACAGGCTGAAAATGTTTTCCAGCTGCTGGATTTTCTTTTGGATTTTGTTTCCTTAACATTTATGCTAGAACTGGTTACTTTTCCACAGGGGAATGACACCTGCAGAAGCTGAGATGCATTTCCTGGAGAATGCCAAAAAACTATCAATGTATGGAGTAGATCTCCATCATGCCAAGGTATGTCTTTTGGTTCTTTCACTGGCCATATGTCTCCTGTGCCATAGTACTTGTATCTGCATGGACTCCCTGATTTATTTTTTCTTGTATTTTTGAGACAGGAAATTTGTGGGATGAATGATGTGCCAACATGAGGAAAGGTGTTTCATGAAATAAGCAGAAATATATCTTGTAGCCATAGTATAACTTATCCTTATCAAAGATGTTGCACATCAACTTTCATGTTGATTAAACAATGCTATCCTTGAGGGAAATACTGAGTGGATGAGGTGATGAGGGAGGATTTTAGAAGCTGTCCAGACAGTGGTGAATTTTCTGTTCATTCAGCTACATTTTCCAGTTTAGTAAGGCCAACCATGCTATCTTATCTGGATAGCAGATCATTTTTATGCTGCAAAGGACTTCCAAGCAATTATTTACTTGTGCTGGAAACCTAATCAGATTGATGATAATGGGGAGAGAGCAGCTTGTCTCTTTCCTGAAGTGTGGTTGTTGTGGTTGACAGGGAGGGCAGTAATTCTCCTGGAAATATTCTCCCATGATCAAGTAGTTTCTCTAATCATCAGCAGGATAAGTTATGAATAAAACATGGGTCATTCTTATTGCGGCTGGAGAAAGTCACTTTTTTACCTTGTATTGGTTGACGGATTTTTTGTTTTAAGGTTTTTTTTCCAAATAAATAATTACTATTGTTTTCTTCACTCTTCAGAGTAAGACTAATGGATTTTAACATTTTTGAGGTTAGCAAGCATCCTTGGCAAATGAATATGGAACCAAAGAATTCTGCCCTGTGGAGGGAACTGCATTTTCTGTAAAGGTCAAATTATTGTGAGCCTGCTTTTTTGCTGCAGCAGCTCCTTTAAAGAATTGAGATAAATTTGCAGCTTGGATTTTGAAAGAGCCTGCAGCCATATCCCTGGGGCATTTCATAGGAGCTGTGCATGTGTGTTACAAAATTCAAGGCAATCTTTTGTGTTCTGTTAATTGCCTTCACTGAAAATGAAGAATCTGTGTACAGCTCAATGGGCAACTACCAGGAGGGATGCCACTGCCTTCCCTGTATCCTGCAGATACACACACTGTCTTGAGCCACATTTGGAGCAGAGAAAAATGGATTGGCAAATGTCACTTGATAGCTTTTTTCCCAATGCGAAGAAGTCCAAAAACCAGGAACTAAATGGATTACTATTTAAAATAAGTTACAGGCTTTGTTACTGAAAATTTTACATAACATAGCATTAAGGCCTACATATTTTTTTCAGAATATTGTAGAAAAGCTGTGAAGTTTAAGATGGGATATTATAAGATAAGCATTTTATTTATTCTTTCCTGAAAAAGTATTAGTATCCTGGTTTGCTCTTCTTTTTTTTTTTTTCATATCGAAAGACTCAGAGCAAGAGAAGTTAGTAGAAAAGCTAATCTCCAAACTGATGCTCTTTATTTTAAAAAGCTGCAGTCGTAACCAAGATGTGTCTGTCTGTGGGTTAGGGAACCCCACAGTCATCTTGAAACCTGAACTTGAAACCTGAAGGTGGGAAAGGTAGACTCTGTGTGAGAAGTCATGTTTAGTTTTAATTAGGTCTGCCCGTGAGATTTGATGATGTCAGGGTAGGGGAAAAGTATCTCTGTGCATTCTTTTGGAAGTCATGCCACAGCAAATGTCTCTATGTAAATGTCAATTCATTAAGGTTGTGCCAGTATTTTCAGTGTTGGACAGATGTTGGACTCACCAGCTGGGATTATCAAATGCAAGGCTGTGATGAAAAATTTGTTCAAATAGACAGACTTGTCCTCTGAACTGTCACCATTCTGAGGAAGGCCACCCCATCTGTATGCAGAGCTAGAGGGATGTGCCTTGGATGTTACAGCTAACAGGTTCCTGTCCCATGTAACCACATGGCTCCTGAAAATAGCCAAATTCTTTTATTCAGGTTTCATTTTACTCTAGAAGTATCATACAGTCACTGACACCAACAAGTAACAGAAGTCTTGAATAAACTTGGATTTGTGGTCAAGATGGAGATAAGGGAAGAAGGTATTTCTCAACAATTTTTGAGAAAGTGTGTAAAAAGAAGAAGCCCCTTGCACATGCAGAAACGTGCTATTTATGAGCACACATGCATACAGACTTACATTTCAGACATTGACCAGGCGGTGTGATTACTGCAGTGAGACTTTTTTATTTTAGAGTGTGTTCAGTGTATTTAGATACTGCTCATTGCTTAGGAAAGTGAAACTGAAGTACACTGAAAAAAATTAGCTCTGTCTTTTCTTGTAGTGCCTGATGGTGATACCACACATGAGCTGTATTTAGAAAAAATCTATCTTTAAGTGGTGATACCATCATTGTTGGAACATATGTCCTCTGTTGGTGTGTTTTCTAACACTGAGGTGACTTCGTGGCACTATTTCTTATGTTGTGATTTTTAAACTTTTTTTTTTCATTTCAAGCTGTGCCATTGCTGTTTCATCATGACTGACCATGCATACCATTGTGTTGGTCTTGAAATGTAACCAGATTTTCACCAAGTGCCTAGTGGTGCCAAGTGGCTGGTTGGGAAAACCAGAGGAAAATTATGAATTCATTTCATGATTATCATAGGGTGACATCTTCATAGCTTCTGCAATCAGGTTTTTGTGACTTTAAGTTATTTAAAAACAATTGGTGAGGAACTCAGTACTTTAAAGTGGATTCTTCTTTTCTCTATCAGTACTAGTACTTTAGCTAAATGAAAAAAACTGTGATAGAAGATAGCGAAGATTGGTTTTAGACTACTTGAAGACTTTTAAAGGAAAGAAAAATCTATATTTCTTACTTAAAAAAACATATATTTAGGGGTATGTTCTGATAAGATTGTGGACAAATCTTTTGTAGTGCTATTGTGTCTGAGCTACAGCCTCCTGGCAAACATAGGTTATAGCACAGTCACAGTCACACACTTTTCAAAAATAATCCTTTCTGGTCCAAACGCCCAACTTTATGCCCACTGGGCATTTCAAAGTGAAAATACTGAGCAAAGGCACAAGAGAATTAAAGAAACTGGCAAACCTACTAAAGACAAAGTGAGCAAACTACAGAAGAAAAATTTATCTAAGGATTCACAAGTCTTAGTCATGGAGACGAGTGATACCAGGAGAAGTAAATTTGTATGCTGTCATACTTACTTTCAATCTGGTATTTATGCTAATAACACTTTTTATTATGCTAATAAAACTTTGCTATATGATTGATATATTTCTTTTAATGACATCTAAAATTTCCCTCCTCCTTTTGGAGTCTTTGTAAAATATAAGGAAACATTGGAAACCCTCAGTTTCCTTCACCCTGCCCAACCTTACTATTATTTGCATGAATGCATTCAGTGAGGAGGGTAATGCTCAGAAATCAGGTCACTACAGCTGATGCATTAAAAAGACGTAGCTCAGATAGAAACACGGGATACAGGAATCTGTAGTATTGTAGGACGCAAGGATAGAAATACTTAACAAAGTGTATTGCTTGCTATTCCAGGATTCCGAAGGAGTGGAAATCATGCTAGGAGTCTGTGCAAGTGGACTCTTAATATATCGAGACAGACTCAGAATAAATAGATTTGCCTGGCCAAAGGTTTTGAAAATTTCCTACAAGAGGAACAACTTCTACATCAAAATCCGACCAGGGGAGGTAAGGGCATCCTGGTTCTCTTAAGTGGATAAACCTCTTGAAAAACATACAAAATCAGTTTTTACTGATTTGTTGGTGTGTTTTGTCCTATAAGCTTTTAACACTCCTCTCCATTTATATTTCTAATTTATGCTGATTTTCTTAGGAAAGGTTAGGTACACACTTTCTTTAAGATACAGGTAAAAGAAATACCTTGGTATTTTTCTGTTTACATCCATGAACTAATGTAAGGAATAAATATGGCCATCTGCACATAAAAAGCTCATCCGTATTATGAATACTTTGGACATTTAAGTAATGTATTGCTTATTCATGGAGAGCTTGTTGTCCTCCCTCATGTTGTACATGCAACTGGCATTTATCTCGGGCACTAAGAGACGTAGACAGACCATACCAACCCTTATAAACATATCAGACCAGTATATTTACAGCGTTTTGGGTAGCCGCACACATTAGCCCTCCCAGACCCGCAGGAGCTCCTGTTCTGGCTCTGGAGAAGGGGATGTGAAACCTCGTACAGTGAGTGCCCTCTCGTGGCTCAGCCGGAGGCGAAGCAAATACTGACCTCATGGGCTGAGCATGCGCCCTCCCAGAAATCATGGATGTCATGGAAGGGTTTGGGTTGGAAGAGACCTGGAATGATCATCTAGTTCCAACCCCTCTGCTGTGGGCATGGACACCATCCACTAGACCAGGCTGTCCAAAGCTCCATCCAACCTCGCCTATAAGATGATAACTCTTGAGAAATTCAGGATCGTCGCAGGTGAAGGAGGATTTCCATTTTAAATGCTGGTACAATAATTGACCTGTGATAGATGAAATCCCTGTATCCATTTAGAGTGTAGAGCTGTATAGCAGGACAGAAATCACTTAGATGAGGACTGGCATTTTTCCCTTAATGCAGCCAATGACTGGGACTGACTTCATAACTGACCTGGAAAACTTGCTGGGGCTCCCCACCCCTGAGCCTGAGCCTTTTTTAGAATCCTAAACCAAAATCCACAAACCTACATCTCCTGCCCCTCAGCAGACACAGTTTTAGTAACCAAATTTCTACCCTTGAATTTGATTTTAAGAACCCAAACAAATAATTGTTGGCATTCCCAACGCCTGAACTGAAGCACTCCACCATTCCTACCCTTTGAGCTCTGCTGGTCTTGGTACTCAGTATCCTGTGAACAGGCCATAGTTCCATGTGTAAAATAATCAATGCAGCCTCTGTCCAAATTACATTTGATGATAATGTGATTCACTAACCCACATCATCTTTATTATTTTGTTGTTTCCTGCCTTATTTCCCTGTCAGCTTCCGTAGGGATTCAGACTTCCTTGCAAGTGCCTTTCTGTCTACCTTTCCCCCATCACAGCAACTCTGTTTTACCTACTGAGCTATCTGCATGTAGCCATCAACATGTTACAGCAGATATAGCTGGCACAGCTTCTGCATCTGAAATATATAAATTTGCAGCACAGTCCAAAGAGGTCTGGTTTTATCTCTGGACAACTCTTTTCAATTACCTGTCTTGCCTCATCCTCCTCAGATGAATTAGCTCCTGTGATTACTGTGATTTACTAACGGTACTGCTTTCTCTGTAAATATCTTAAATATCTCTGTAAATATCCTTAATCTAAGGCTGTGTGAGACCAAATCAGTCCCTAAGGACTATTGCTCACCTCCAGCTATTACCAGCCTTCCCACTGTAGTTCTAACTAGTGAAATTAAATCAACAGGGTAAAACACTTGAATAATGTTTTCTCAGAAGTCTCTGAAGTCTGATCTCTTTGTTACTGTAGGGTATAAAACATCACTGTCACCATAAGAAATCTCTTGCCCATTACTAGTGTTTTCCCCCAGAAATGATCCTCAAAGGTTGCCATATATTATCATTCACAGCTTCTTTCCCAGAATTCTTTCTGTAGAATACGGATATATGTGTTTATGTACATGAGCATATACATTCGCCCTTGCAATGAGGTGATACAGACAGAGGAAATGAAGATGAACCTGTGTACACTGTCTAAAAATAGATGCACAGCATCAAAAACATACTTATTCTTTTTTCCTACCTAGTTTGAGCAGTTTGAAAGCACTATTGGGTTTAAGTTGCCAAATCATCGTGCTGCAAAGCGCTTATGGAAAGTGTGTGTTGAACACCATACATTTTTCAGGTATGTGGATTTCTTTTCCTAAAGATGTGATGTAAAACGCAACAGAAAATATCAATTTTGTCAGCAGAGGTAAAACCCTTCAAACCAAATTGTCTTTTTGATCATGAGGTACCTCTGAGCAGATAAAGGAACATTATTGCTTTTTCAAAATTTGAGATGTTGCACCCAAATTATTCATACTGTTTCAGATAGATACTGCTTAAAATCACCATATGGTCCTAATTAATCATTTTGCTTTATCTGTGCCACAATATTATCAGCTGCTATAATTAAAGAGATTAAGGACTCTGTTGCACTACTGCATATAAGCTTGCATAAGGAGACCAGCTTATATGGAAGATTGCTGGGGAATGTGGGTAAGAGTTTAAAAAAGAAGGTTTGGGTTTTTTTTTTTAATTATATATGAAAGTACAGACAGTATAGTAGTAGGTCATGGTTTCTTTTGGTCACACAGAATACACAACCCATAGCTGTAATTTTTGGATTACTAAGGAATTTTGCAGCTATTTTTTTGACTTCTAGGAAGAACGGAGAAAAATATGGGATAGGGAAATAAGTGCTGTAATTAGTTTGTGCTAAGATAGTCACTAAACAGATTCTTAAAAAGGGAAATCCAAAAGGGTGAAATTTTCAACAGTTTGAAAGGGTGTCCAGTGCTTAAGAACCCCCTCTGGGGAATGTTTGGGAGTACTGAAGAATTTCCTTCCTTTCTTAAAACTGTTAGTTCAGGCTGTCTGTACATTCATATGAAATGCAGTCTTAGCAGCAAAAGATCTAAAGAGAAATGGAGTGTGCATTTTTGGAGCATTTTCTGATTTTTCATGAAAAATAAATGTCTAAAGCATAGACTCCATAGCAGGAGAATGGCTTTTTCAGTCAGCTACCATGCACAAATTACAGAGGGTGGGAGAGCTCTAACCTGAAAAATGTCTACACCCATGTAAATGAATAGTGCCTGTCATTCACTGGAAATGAGTTCTGGCCCTGTCCTCAGCATAACATCACCATGTTAAATTCAAAGAGATACATCTGCATTTCAGCCCAGCTGGGGCCTCTGGTGCAAGGAACACCTTCTTTTTAGTTTTAGTAATCAGAAAATAGTAAATTTGATTTTCAAGCATGAAGGAGCTGAGTGACTCTTGCCCATGTGGAAGAACTCAGATCTTCAAATGCTTTAGATAAGTGGTTTTGTCATGCTGTATGAGGGGCATCCTTTGATTCCCTTTTAGCCACAGACCTCTGAGGCACAGGTCACGATGGAGAGTGATACCCAGCAGTCGTCTTCTCTCTTCTTCAGAAAGAGTGGACTGATTTTGGAGGAGGGGAAATAACAGGTGCACTGCTTGGTGTGTTTTAGGCTCCTGCTGCCCGAAGCACCTCCAAAGAAGTTCCTCACGTTGGGCTCCAAGTTTCGCTACAGCGGCCGGACGCAGGCCCAGACGAGAAGAGCCAGTGCCCTCATAGACCGTCCCGCACCTTACTTTGAGCGTTCCTCTAGTAAACGTTACACCATGTCTCGCAGCTTAGATGGGGGTAAGGTCCTCTCAACCGACCTTATCAAACATTATCATCACAGTGGTCGCTGCTTTAGATTAGGGGTAAACCTCATCATCTCCTGTCCTTGAGATTTGGCTGAGTGGAGGCTGTGAGTACCTGCACGTTCACTGTCGGGGTAGAGGAGGATGCAGAGAAATTCCTTGCTAAATGTACTGCTGTGGTCCTTACTAAGTGTTTGGCTGGAGGATGTCCTTTGGAGCCCACTCTTCACAGAGCCTCTGTCTTTGACCTCATATCTGCTTCCCTGATTTGGGGAAGGATGGGATGGACCTGCCTGCCCAAGAATGTCAGGCTTCAACACTTTTTCAGGGTTTGCATGAGTGACTGTTCGGGTTTTGGTTGAATCTGAGATTTCCTTCTGTATAGATTTTTCACTTAAGTTTGTTACAATCCAGAAATTATTAATTATGTCCCTTGGGTAGTAACACTTGATTCCAGTTACCTCACAACTTGCTCCAATAAGCACTAAGAGACTTTTTTGATATGTTATTTTCAAAGGTATGAAATGGAGAGTAGCATACATAGGTTAATAGTACATCCTTCCTCTCTTTATCCTTGCTTCATGGAGGTCATGATTCTGCTACTGACTTTGGTTAAATCAGTGTGTAGTTCAGAGTATCAGTTACTTCCATCTGCTATTACTACTGTCAGCTGTTGAATAAAAAGAGGCTGTAGTTTTGTAGTTTATTTTTGTAGGAAAACAAAGACTGAGACTAAACTCACATTCATTACAGATTAAAAAAAAAGGTGAAATCTCTTGCAGAATATCACAGATTGCAATGAGTATAGTTGGTGGTGGGGATGGGGAGAAGCTTTGATTTAAAAGTACACGTGACAAGACTTTTTCTCTCTCTGTAAAGGTGCTGCTTGTCATTGATTATTTTGGAATATTCTAATTCTGATGTGCTTCTTGCTTGTTACCAAGCAACTGGTGACCTGATTGGTGTGCATGTGTTTCAAAGCAGAAATTATCCTTCTGCATTATTTTGTTTGTAACATCTAAACAAGGCATCTTCCTCTACTCCCTTTGCTTTCTCCTGCCTCCTAAACTTAATCCCAAGAGACAAGATACCTGAAATGCTTTACCCAGCACTTGTTAGACTCGGCAAGGTTTTTATGATGTTAATTTGCCTAAGTGCAAATGGGGGAAAGAGGTTTTTAAATCAGTGCTTATGATGTCTTCACTAGCATTGTTACTATAATGCAGATATGTCTGCAACATTCTGCATTGTGCTTACATTGTGATCCAGACTCTGCCATTTGTTACAGATGCAAGTGAGTTTATAAATTTGAATAATCCTATTGGTTTAGAAATTAGTTCCCAATAGTCAAGAGCAGGGTCTGGGCATATGTTTAAAGTTTTGATTACATTGTAAAAGTACTATTTCTTTCAAAATAAATTTTATGTATTTAAATCTGATTAATTATTGAGCACTTGTATCCTAAAATATTCTGGTTGGGTCCGCTGAACTGAATATCATCACTTCACAGAATTTTTTAGGATAATGAGCTCATCTAACTGGCAGACTTTAGTACTCAATAATACAAGGATCACATTTCCTTTTTCTCAGGTATTATGCCTGTGTTATATCAATACTGTCATTTTCTGTAATGCAGCACGTTACTAAATCTGCATTTGATCTGCATTTTTTTATTCTGACAGATTTTTTTTTAAAAAATCTCTTCCACCCCCATGGCTGATGTCATAGCTGGTTCTCCTTATGTTTCCTGCCTGATAACTGTGGCAGTGCATTGCTTTTTTTTTATGTGGTGTTTTACTACAGTAGTAATTTTAACAGCTTGCTAACATTTAACAACTGTGTAATGCACACATTAGCTACAGTAATGTGTGTATACACATCCATAATATATGTCTATGCATATAAAAGCTATGAGCTTCAAGTAAACAGTTTATTTAAATGTATGCACATGCTTCTGGTCTCCTGAAACATGACATAGTTGTGTTTTCAGTGTTATCTCAAATGTTTTTCTAAACCAGCTTTTTTAATTTTATGCAGCTTCTCAGCAAAAGCTATTTCAGATTTTCCCTCTTTAAATATTTGCTTTTAGCATCAGTGAATGAAAACCATGAAATGTACATGAAGGATTCTGTGTCTGCTGCAGAGGTTGGTACTGGCCAGTACGCCACAACAAAGGGCATCTCTCAGACCAACTTGATAACCACTGTGACTCCAGAGAAAAAGACAGAAGAGGACAAAGATGATGAAGAGGGCAAAAAGAAGAGAGCAGAGGAAGTCACCCCAATTTCAGCAATACGCCATGACACCAAGGTAGAATTTTCAGGGTTTTGTATTAAACAGGGCTGCCTTGAGAGTGCTTGGAGAAACACAGAATTTCTAGGGAAGAGGGAGAAAGAGGAAATAAAACTAGTTCTGTGAAAGGAAATATACTGTGTGTATATACATGTCTTGAATCAGTGTTTTTGTAGTCCTTTCAGTTGTCGTATGATGTTGTAAAGGTTAGTTCCTGCCTTGGACTTTTTTTTAAAATATGTTTAACAGTCAGAATGATGTTTTTCACAGAGCATGCAACAGCTCTTTAGGAAACACCCAGAAGTAGCCTGGCCGTGCATGTTTGTTCCTCTGTTTTTCGGTCATATTTTGACTTCAGTATGGCCATCCTGGTTTTTTTTATTTTGACAAAGCAACAAAATAGGTCTGTATTCTTGTATGTAGCTCTGTGCTTTAAACTATTCCTCTTATATTTCTCATAACACTGTTTTCTTGCATGAATTTCAGTGGGCATTTTTCCTCTATTAACTTCTGGGTATTAATCTGCTGTTATAAGCAATTTTTTTCTGGCTTACAAAAGCATTTGCTTCACTTGTTTGAAGTTTCTGTTGAAGAAAGCATTTTTTATTGATGGTTCTCTTATCAATTGTTAAATTTGAATCATCCCTCATCATCTTCAATCCCACCACCACACACACATACATACAAGGTTGTGCATAATATCTACTGAGATATTAAAACAGGATAAACCAAACAGAAGGATGGAGAAAATAATAAATAGAGATTGACAGTGAAGAGGAATATGGTAGAATAACATTCAGAAAGTGTACTGTGGAATGCACTTGCTAAACAAGTAAGGTTTACCCTCATCTTTTAGGAAGAAAAACCTTGATATATATTTATTTATATCCACAGAACTGTCAAGTATGCAAATTTTAGAACCTGAACTTTTAGCTTTATCGTACAAGGCCACAATGAGCTACATAACGAAAGGATCAAGTCCTCAAAAAGAGTTGCAGTTAAGGTACTGAAAACCAGAAACAAATTGAGTTACTGAAAATTGCAAATGAGAAAGATTTTCTTTTGAAAGTGTGTGCTGTATTGTAGCATTTAAAAGATAATCTCTACAAAATTTAACTGAGGTCTTCTTGAAATCTCTACAAAATTTAACTGAGGTCTTCTTGAAACTCCATTAGTTTCCACATGGAGAAAGAATGATGAAAATAGAATATGTGGAAAACATCCAAAAGAAGCTAGTTCTTTTCCAAGTGTTTGTTAATTTAAGTCAATGGAGGGATCAGTTGGATTTTGAAGATCATTCCTTATATATGGCTAGAAATACTCAGAGATATTTTAGGAGACTAATTTGATGGAACTTATGTATGCACAAGTGATTGATTTTTACCCCCACACAAGACATGAATTCTTTTTAAAACATCATAAATAGAGTTTCAGTTCTGTAATCCTACAGAGGTCTAACCTGCTAACAGATTTGTCTGTCATCATAAAGAAAATGTCTCAAGAAACACAATACAAGCTCAAAATCAAATCCCTTTTAAGGGCATATAAATGTTTTAGGTATGTTTTCAGCTTTTCCATTAAGACATTTTGCCTTTGTTTTATCCATGTGTATTTAAATACCAGAAGTTATTCTAAATATTAACACTGTAAAGATGTTAGCAAGGGAATAGTCTGAATTAGAAAAGAATACATTTACTTTGGATTTTTGTCTCTACAGTAAAGAGAAGTTGTATTTGTGTGTGTATTTAGCGCACACAAAAACCTGTGAGTCCATCAGCATTAAGTTTTGACTTGAGCATACTACATTAAACCCATAAAGACATTTGTAAGTGGTTTGAAGCTAGTCTTGGTTCTGATTGCTTAGTTTGGCAATACAGATTCCTTGAATTGATAGATTGTTAGAGAAGAGAGAAAGGGAAATATCAAAGAGGAAGGAAAGGAGTTCTTCCATATAATTACTTGACTTACATCCTATTCCTACTATTAATATACCTGGTAAAGTTAGGGCTTAGTAGCAATCTGTGTCTGAGACTTGAATCTGCTTTTTGCCTCCAGTTCAACACCAGCTTGAACTGGAAGCAGGTGCTGTTGTGGCTTTTAAGTAATTTTGCTTTTGGGAGCCTGGAGTGAAAGTGAAATGGCTATTATAGCTCCCTGGGGAGATGTAGTATGGATGGAGCAGCTCAGGCACTTAGGGCTTGGTCATGGATCCAGTGGGCTTCTTCAGCTACATGCACTTGGTGGATTTTGGCCAAAACATCTCTGATCTATCAGCATTGTGGCAGATGTGTTGTGCTGGGTATACATTTTGGTCATGACAGTGGTTTTTGTCCTTCTAAAGAGCAGTGGTGTCTGCTTGCAGGGAGCATGTGAAATGACAATCACCATTTCCACTGAATCTCCTCCTTCCTCCTACCAATTTTTTGACCTCAAATGACCTGAAAGGCCAGTTGAATGCCCTACAAGTGGCATATCAAAGCAAATCCTGCTTGTTGGTAGCCAGTATTCTTGGCATTGTGATAAAACTTGTAGCAAAAGCATCAGGGGCATTTTTGCCTCTTCACTATGGGTAAAGGATTACATTTTTGTTATGAGAAGATGTGGCTGTGTGGGGCAAGGATCTCTCTCTAGCCAGACCCCCTTCAGATCCCCAGTGAGAGATTATAGGGCCTGCTGAGCCACAAGTCTCAGCTCCCTTATTTCAGTGTACGGCCGAAGGGATGGCAGCGTGGAGGGGCTGGCAGGGTGAATGGCTGGGAGGGGCTGTGCCCCCAGCACTGCCTGCTTGGGCTCACAGTGAGCAGAGGTGAGGGCAGGGCTGTGGGGGTGCCCAGCAGAGTCCAGTGGTGGGAGTCGTGCTAAGGAACCGGCTGCTGGGATATCTGTTGAGCAGTTTTTTTCCCATCAGGAGCATTGATGAATGGATTTCTGCTCCCCCCACCAAAGAACAATGTGTTTTAATTTGGTTTACGGCCTAGATTTTTTTCAAAATATCGTAGTTGAGGAATTTAAAGTCCTTGGAATTTTAATTATTACTGCTGAGGTTGTCCAAGGCATAGGTGGGAAGCGTCTGGCCCCCACCAAGTCTCCTCCTGGCTGCAAAAATGCTGTCACAAGTAGTGCTGGTATTAGAATATGTTTCCTTCTTTGTTGCTCTCCATGTACTTCATGTTTGAAAACTCTTTATGATCGGAAACCAATCTTGCAGTAAGTAGAAATTGGCAACACCTGAAGCACCCCATGTGGCCATGCAGGCTTTTATGTAAATCCTGAGCTGCAGAGGAGTAGACAAATGTTGAATCAAGAAGTAGCCTTTTGTAAGCTGGAAGTGTGATTTGCTAATACCTGTGGTGTGGGGCATGGGAACATGCACCGTTCAGTTCAGTGGAAAGCTGTGGTGTTAAAATACTGTTTATAATTTAAAATATATAATATATATTATTTATCATCACGGAAGAAAATTAACTAATTACAGTTTTCTTTTTGTCCTTTTGCTTTTGCGCCTTGTTTGCTGCCCTTTCTCTGTCACCAGCCATCTTTGCTTGGCACTGACTCCCACCACTCCTCGCCATCCTCTCAGCCTGGCCCCCATGTATCTTCAGCAAAGCTTCGCAGGAGATGCAAGGAGAGCACTCGGACAAAGTCCTTAGGCTGTGAGGCCCCCAAAGAGAGCACTCCAAAACACAGCGAGTCGGAGCCAGACTCTGACAGAAAGGGGCGAGTTTGCTCCGCCGAGCAAGACATGGCTTTTGGCTACAGGCAAAAAGCCGGCAAAGGCGGAACACTGTTCTCCTTCTCCTTGCAACTTCCAGAGTCATTTCCTTCCCTCCTGGATGACGATGGCTACCTGTCGCTCCCTAACCTCTCCGAAACCAACCTCCTGCCTGCCAGTGTGCAGCACTATCTCCCCATCCGCTCCCCCTCCCTCGTGCCTTGCTTCCTCTTCATTTTTTTCTTTCTGCTCTCTGCCTCTTTCTCAGTGCCATACGCCCTCACTCTCTCCTTTCCTCTGGCTATGTGCCTCTGCTACCTGGAGCCCAAGGCGGCCTCCTTGAGTGCCTCACTTGCCAATGACCTGAGTGACAGTTCAGAGGAAGAGGTGTGTACCTCGGCATCGAACACACTCTTTTTCGTGTTCAGTGCTTCAGTCCTAACCAGTGTTAGATTGCTGCAATAGTGGTCCTACTTTCAGAGCCTCATTTCTGTCTGTGCTGATATGTTAGAAGGGATTTTTTTTTTTTTTTGTTTGGGGGTTGTTGTTTTTTGTTTTGGTTTTTTTTTCTTCTTTATTTTTTTCTCATGCTGGGAGTACAGCTCAAAGCCCAGGGTTAGGCACAACACTGTGTGGAAGAGGCTTGTCTTGAACTGTGTCAGTTGGTTCAAAGCAGCTTGCACTAAATGATAAGACGTTTTTCTTCCCTCTATCAGTTTAGAATAGCTTTAGGGATAGAATAGTTATCTAAATAGTGGGTATTAAGTATAATTTTCTGCATAATTACTTAACATCCAAATATATGAATATGTATCTACATTTATTTATATGACTAGCTGCCTAACAATGATGAGCACCCTCACCAGTTTCAGTATGTTTAAAGTCCAGATAGACTCAGCTTTTTGCAAAAGTCTGTCAGCTGTAGCTGAACCCCAGAAAAAGCTTTCTGGTCCAGCAAAACCTGGATCTTGATTTTCAGCCTTGATCCCATCTCTGCTGCAGATTAAATTGTTTTCCCATGGTTAAATCCAGCGTATCATTGAGAGGTCATACTGGGACAGCTGTTCTGCAGCTGTTGCAGGAGTATGCCATGTGGGCTGTCTTGACATTTGCAGTGTTATATTAGCACTGCCAAAACTGATGCCTTAAGCCACCAGGGTCATCAGGGGCAGATGAACCAGCTGCAGTAGGAGTCTGCTGTGGTTCTGGGTACTGTGGATGTGGTGGTATATCCAGAAGTAGGAAAGGAGTCTGCTTAAGTAACAGAGTAACTGGCATCTCAGTTTTTGCTGGAGCCTGTTTATTCTTTGTTGACAGAATAAAATAATGCGTTCAGTTTTTCCTTGATTTTCTATTTTCTTCTTCAACTTCAAATACAAAAGTACGGTTTTGCTTTATATATAAAAAAAAAAAAGCCCAGATCAGATGATCACAGACCAGCTGGCCATGTAAAAAGCCACCTTGGCCACTTGTCAATAGTCCATTGCAGTAGCTCTCTTCAATAAACCAGCTTGAACATTGTCATCTGCTGCTGTTGGTTTTGTAAGACTTGGTGCAGGATTTCATTTCCTTTTTATGGAAAGCCAAAAGTCACATCAGTTTGTCTTGCAAAAACATTGTCTTTAAATGCTTTTGGCTCTGTGATGCCTTACAACTAAAAAAGTATTATACGATTTCTAATAAAAGGCATCTAAAATGCTGCTGTCTTATTTCTTGCCCTTATTTTGAGACAGCATTTAGGTCTCAATTTGCATTAGCTTTGCACTTGGATTAATCTAATAGCAGTAACAGCATTAATATAGTTCCAGCTCTAGAGGCAATAATGAAGCAGTGTTTATGTAATACATTAGTCTGTTCCCCTTTCAGAAATGGGCACTTCTTTTTCTTAGTAAAGTTAGGAAGCATTGAGCATAAAAACATCTAAAATAGGCTTTTTAGTATCGCTCTTTTATGAGGGTGATCACTCTGGCAGTGCTTCCTGGCAGACAACACAGACTTGTGCCTAATCCATGGGGTATTTCTTGTTCAAAATATTGCATGAAAGTGAATATGTTTTCAACTCGGGCATGTCTGCATTACATTGGCAAAACAAATCACAGCAATTACGATCGCAAGGTAGGAGAGGTGCAGCCACAGCACGTCAGGAGAAGCTGCCTCTGTCCTGCTCCTGCCCTCGCCTGCCTGCCAACCCCACCTCAGCTGTACCTCAGCCCGTCTTGGAGCTGAGCCTGGCCTTTTTTACTCTTCACTCCACAGGAGACCTGCCTTACTCAGCCTTAACTCACCCATTCCCTGCTCTGTGATAACCCCAGATCTTTATTTCAAGTAATTCAGTAATGCTGACTTCGACTCCATCCTGTTGATTGGCTGATTAGCAGATATGTATGTTGCAATAAAGCAAGGTTTATGCTTTATTTAGGATTTCATTCCACTTATGGCAAAAGAAATAGGAATGTTTCCCACCCCCCACAGTTCACAAAAGATTGCACACAGAGATGCAGAAGACTACAGCCAGTATCCTGAACCAATGCCTTACATTGTTGAGCTTGTTCTCCCTTGAGCTATGCATCTGGAATTAGTCCATGCAGTCAAAGATGGAATCTCACTCCTTGGAATTCACTAGCTTCTGTGTTTTTACCTTAGCAGCTAATTTTCTATTGACTTCAAATTCTTAAAATTAACCCTATATGCCAGACTTGTATTACAGTGCCTTTACACAATTTTTAATTCTTTTTAAATGCCTAGATGCATTAATTCCTCTTTGTTTCTTTTTAATTTTGCAAACAGGAGTGAAAATGCATACTTGTTTGTTTTTTTCTATTGCCATACCTTTACAACTGCCTATAATGTTATAAAGACATGAGATTCTTTGTTAATAAAGAAACATTTTTCTAGCATTTTAGTGAAAGCAATTGGACCAGCCTAATAGACTGCTTTGACATTACACTCCCATTTAAAAATAAATGTGGTCTGTCTCAAGAGTGGTCATGACTTGAGAAACTTCATGTAACTTGCATTCATGCACTTAGCAAGTAGTGCAAAATGCTTGTTTATTCTTCTGTCTGTCATACAAATAATACAAACTCTTCAAAGAATAAAAAACAAAGCTATGAAAAAAAAATCAAAACATTGTCTTATGAAACAATGGCGTTCTCAGAAAATGACAAAAAATTGGAGGACATTCAAAGCTAAGACTGATACTCCATCCACCAGTGGGCTGTTCTTTTGTTCTTGTTCATATTGATGTGATTGGAGGATGAGATATGTTGTCTTGGCTTTAAATTGCCTGCCTGGGTTGCTGTCTAAGGACCACAGAAAATCAGTAACGAAAACCAGAGCTTTCACTGCTATCAAAACAACTTGGATGTGCGAGTCTAGGGCAGTAAGGTGCACTTTACTTACTAGTTTTCCATATGCTTACCTGACATCAGAGTAGTTTTTTGAAATCTTTTCTCAGTCTGTAGTAACCTCCACTCCACTCTCTCTTAATCTTGACACTTGTGTCCTCCACTGAAATGTTCTTCATGCAAAGCAGGGATAAATCAGTCTGTGCAATGCTGTGCTTTGTTTCATTTTTATCACTCATACCTAGTAAGTGTTTGGGGGGTGGGGGAAGTTACTTTTGTTTTTCTCCTGCTTTCATTCATACTCTTAAATGGAATGAGAAGTATTTTTTCCTTCTTTTAATGGCAGTTTTCTTTCTTTTTACTATCATTAACAATTATCAGCTCTTTATTGGAACCGAATGGGATCTGAGCCTTACCATTACTCCACAGACAGACAGTAGATGGGCTGGGGGTACGGTTATTTGAACTCCTTGGTAATGCAGACAGCCTCATGGTGTGTAAATGTGGAGACAAAAATAACCTCTGTACAAATGAGGGGCTGAAAGTCAGATGACTGTTAAAGTAGCTTTTTTGTTGTTTTTTTTTTAATTATCTTTTTCCCCTCCAGATAAAAATTTAACCACTACTTTATATTGCCTAGAACAAAAAATTAGTTCAATAATTTTCTGTAAAAAATCATTGTGGGAGGAAAAGTTCAATTAGAAAATATTAGTCACGTTTTTTCCCCATTTTTTTAAAGCTACCTCGTTTTCTTAAGGAAAAAAAAAAATCTGCTATTCAAATAACACTTTTCCAGTAATGTTTGGCTTATAAATTTGTTCCACTAAAGCCGTATACTGTGTACAGTACGCCTCGAGTCTTCCTCTGAGTCTGTTCTGTTTACTAATATAGCATTTTTATTTTGCTTCTTTGACATGTGCGTTGTTTGAAAAGCAATGCTAATGCAGTTCACAGGGATGTTGAGCTTAACAGTTCCCCGTGTGAGCCGCGTGTACTGATGAGCTGGGTTTATTCTTTATTCCTGCCTTCCTCTCGGGACCCGGGTACTTGTCTAACCCAATAGACTGACAGTGAGCAGACGGATACTGCGGCTGATGGTGAGACCACTGCCACCGAGGTTTGTACAGTCGCCAGCACCCAGCTGTGGCAGGGGAGAGCGTTCGGCCTCGCCTCTTCCCGACCCTGGGCCTCGGGGCTAGACCGCATGTCTGCTACGGCAGCTCAGGATCCCTCCCCGCGCGTGTGTGCATGTGCGTGCCTGCAAGTGGGAGAGCTTTGCTAGGACAGTTGAGTTTCCGGTGCTCCCTATGGGCTCCTCTTATTCCTGAGTGGTTTGGAAGCTGCAAGGCCTCTGCGTTGTGCGGTCAGTGGGGCAGTGGCGGTGTCACCCCCGCCAGTGCTGCCCACCCAGAGGGCTCTGCTGGCCAGACCGTGCCCTGGGGTTTTTTGTTTGCTTGTTTGCTCTTATACTCTGAAGCCTGAGTGGGAGAGTGGGGAAAAGACAATAAAAAGCTGTTTTTTGAATTTACTGAATATTCTCACATTTTAAATATCTAAGTTTTTTCTTTAATGTAATTTCACATGGCATCTTCACATATGGCCACTAGTAGTCCAGGTATTCTTTTCAGAGGAGAAATGTAAAATGTTCATATTTTCCTTACACTAAGAAGCTTCATATCTACAACAATCTACATAGGCTGTGCAGGCAAATTCAACCTTATGTGACTTCACTGAAGTGCATATAATGCTTTCATAATTAATACGGTTGCAGCTGCAAACATGAGCTGAATTTCGTCTGACATCTGCTAGAAGACGGAGTCTTACCACAAACACTACTCTAGGTTTTCAGAAGGATCTCATTAATATTTGAGACTGTTAAAATTATCATCAAGGAAAAATTTTCTGTGTGACACGTCAGGACGATTCAGCGATGGCTGAAAATAGAATAAATTTGAACGGAGTTGTAAAGTAATCAACAGATTTTCCCATGAGTCATTTGTCTAATTAGGACTATATGAAAAATTAACAATAAAATAGCAGCATGGGCATTAAAAGAATTCAAACAGTGCAACAACATAAAGTCTGTTGAGATGAGTCAGAAATACAAAATGCTTTGAAGTGCTTCTTCCACTCGTAGGCCTTGAGCACTATAGAAAATAAAACATAACTATAAAATTGTGACATTTTAAATGTGCAGCTTATAATTCAAAAATGTGTGTAAATATTCCTAGTTGCCATCTTTAGTTAAAGATATAGCACATATCAGTTGGATATGGATACCTGATTTTCAAAATGTGTGGTATATCTGCCACCTGAAAATTGCACCCTTGGAAACAGGGCTGCTGGGGCAGTTTTTATGGTGTTGCTTTTGAAAATGTGCACTGAAGTGGATGGGATATGTGTGCCATTCCAGATGATAGGTTCTGAAAGAATATATACAGGCTAAATATGAAATAAAATTGCAGAAATACAGAAAGGGACTATGGTTAGGGAAATAGCAGATAAAATGTGCTTCTTTCTGTAGAAAGTGTTGCAGGTTGTTTGCCCATGGTTTATGCAATGCTTTGCTTGTGGCCCAGATTATATCCTATGCGTAAATTCTGGGATTACAGAATTTCAAAGCATTTGCTGTTGCTGTTCCGTCCTAGACTAGCCGTGACCTTGGTGAGAAGGTGCAACTGCCGCTCCATAAATAGAGATTTATGAATGTGGAGTGTAGCAATATTTATAAAAGGAAGATGTTTAACGCCCCTTTGATAACAAAACACAAATTTGAGGAGTGGACATTTGCTCTGAGTTAGGAAGACTATGCAAAGCCAGTATGTCTACTCCTTCTCCTTAAACCCTTAATAAGGAGAAAATGGAACTTTAACGTAGTGTGTACCTCTCACCAATGTTCATAAAGCCTTCATTCATACAAGTGGGTAAGGTGTTGTTTTCCAATCTTTCTCATGCTGGCAGTCGGATCAAGAGGAGGACGGAGATCTAAAGGCACAGGTACAGAAACAAAAGGTCTAGATGTTGCTCAGGTACCAATGTTGGAGGTGTTCGCCTCTTTCAGCATGTTACTGTCGGTTCTCTGTGAAGAAATGTGTAGAAACAGCATTTTGTATCCTTTCAATACTGTGTCCCTTACTTTTCCCTTTCTTTTTCACTTCTTTCAGAATAGTCTGATTAAGCGAATACAGGGTGAAAATGTGTATGTCAAACATAGTAATCTTATGTTAGAGGTTGGTATTGGTATATACCAGTGCATGTACGTACATGTGTGTTAGTTTTAGTGGTAAACTGTGGATCTGCACTATGATGCATGAATTGTGTACTCCCACCTGCTAATAGATTATTTTTTCTCTCAGATTATGATGACTCCTCTAACCTGTACTATCAATATCGATATATGCGTGTGCCTCTATGTGTGTGCCTCCACGCGCATATGTATGTTTGTTTGGAGCCTCTTTATCAGGTGCAAATTACAGCAATATGGATAGGCTCTTTAAGAGTGTACTTAGACTCACTTGTACGAGATATGCTATGCTGTTCTCTTTCAAAATGCCACATTTTCACAGAGTGTTGTGTTAGTGCTGTGCTCCCCGGCTCCCTGAGCTGTTACTTCCCTCTATACTAACCAAGTTGTGTGTTTTGGCTCTAAAGTGTGGTTGGCTTAGGATGTATCACAAACTGCTCTATTCTTTTAAAACTGTCTAGGATCTAGACAAAACCCAGGAAGATCTGATGAAACATCAGACCAATATAAGCGAGTTGAAACGCACCTTCTTGGAAACCTCTACAGAAACGACTGTGTCTAATGAGTGGGAGAAGAGGCTTTCCACATCTCCCGTTCGACTTGCAGCAAGGCAGGAGGATGCTCCTATGATTGAACCACTAGTGCCTGAAGAGGTCAGCGTGAGCTGAAAGGCTTCATTATGTATTTGTCTATGCATTTTTACTTATAGCAGCTCTCACTAGATTAGAGGCTGTAGTTAGAAGCCCATCCCTGCTTGCAGGCACTCCCTTTTCTCAGGACACAGACAGCAACGATGGGAGGAAGAGTAGATACCATAAATATACACATATATAAATATATGTGTATATAGAGAATTAAAATCACTGGAAGCCATGTGGCAGAACTGGGTCTCTCTGAGGGTGCAAAATACAGGCATTGTTACAGGCTCGGTGAGCTTGAGGAAGTCCAGCCATGCGTGAAAGAAACCATGAAAGTGATGGAGAGAAAATTTAAACAATGGTGACTGGTTGGGAGAAGTGGTGTAGTGAGACAGGTGGGGGCTATGGTGCCAAGCTTGAAAAGAAAATACAGAACAAAGGGCAGAACTATCAGTCTCTGAAAACAGGGAAGAAATAATGACAATAATTAGACCTTCTTGGCCAGTTCCATAAGGAACATCATGGTTGCTACAGTCTGCTGGATACTGTCATTGAAGACCCAATGCAGATTACTAAGTATCTGCATTTTCCTGCAGTGTGTGTGTGTGTGAAAAAATCTTGCTCACTGTGCAGTCTTGAAGTGCTTGTAAGAAACTTGCCAGTTTAAAAGCTGGTGTTTACTTGATCTGTAGGTAGATAAGAACATGTGGGGTAGCAAGGCAGCATTTGTGTTGCAATAAAATACACAATGCAGGGTCTTGGCTTAGGTTCAGTGGAGCAAAAAGAAATAAGCTTGTGTGGTCTTCCTGAAAGTTGGGGTTTTTTTATTCTATTATGAGTGGATATCTGGTTTCTGTCTCAGAGGAATTATCTTTATGGGTTCCTCTTGGTTTTAGCATTAAAAAACAATAAATGGTCATGAGATTTTTTTCTGTTCCCACAGCACTGATGTAATGTTGTAGGGAGCTCAGTAAAAATTGTCTGGAAAGTGTAAATTGAGTGTTCTGCTTTCTCACTTCAGAGGTTGGTGTTGCAGACCCATAACTCTGGGGAAGGGCATCCCTGGAGGCATGCGGGTAGCAAGTGTCAGCTTCTCCTCATAGGGAAAGGGATACTGCCAAGGAAAGGGGTCTCACCTCCTCCTCTCCCCGAAATAGCCAGTGGCTGATGCTGGCACCAGATGTGCATTACTGTGGCAGTCATGTGTAATTAAAATACATAAAAAAAGCTTCCTTTTTGAGGGGAGCATGGAGGAGTTTTAGTGTTGCTCCTACTGCCTTGTTCAGGAATCATAACAGACCCTACAAACAGGTTGGTTTGATTGTAGTTGAAAATAAAGGCTTATACTTCTAAAAAGTAAAATTGTAAGTACAATGAATAGGATGCATTTCTCATAATAAATATGTAAGGAGCTGTTGGAAAGGGTGGCTAGCTAAGCCTGAGTCTGAGAATTGCAGGGGGAGCAAACTTAGCACCACCCTGTCTGTTTAATATCTTTATTACTTTAGGAATGTACTAAACAGTTTTAGTTCAAACACACAAGCAGTATCAAAGCTTACACAAAGCTGTATTACACAGCTCTGTAGGCTTCACCCTGAGGAAACACATCTGAATTTAACCATTCATTTGGAAAGGAAAAGGACAAGAATTATGCATGCATCTAAGTAGTAAATCTGTTTCACAGAACCTCATCCAAATGAAGGTATTTCTGTGGAAAATTAAGAACAGACTTGAGCTATCAGAGCTTAATTCGGAGGTGACTTCTGCTGTAGATAACACCTGGCCATTCCTTTGGTCCCAATAAGTGAGATGGTTTCAGTGTACATGTCCTGATGAGAGGGGATTTTTTGAGGAAAAAGCTGAAGCCATCCTTAGGTCAAAATCCACACTTTGATGTCTACTGAGAAATGCAGAGACAGTCAAGATGGTGTAGTGCCTTCTGCTAGTCAAAGTTACACATTATCCACTTTAAAAATATGTTCAGTGTTGTTACCTGTAGCTTCTTCTTAAAATAAAACAAGAACAGAAGAGAAAATATATCTTTTCAAAATGTGATCTTCAAGCATGTGGCACCTGAATGTTTGGTCAGTGTGACTTCAAGCCACTGGTTGCCACTTGGTTTGTAAGAAGAGATGGGGAAATAATTTGGTTTTCCTTACTACTGAAAAATATAGCTTTAAATATCTTATATGATGGTAGCCAGATAGGTGTAGAACATGAAAGCCATCATATTGACAAAGTCTTTGACAGTGTTTAGTCTGACCTGAGTTGGATGAAACCAACACTAGGAATAAAAGAGTTGTACATCTCCTCGCAGTCAGGGAGTCGAACCATTTATCCCTTTCTAGTTTCATATTTCTCTTTAAATTTCTAACTTTCCTCTTGAGTATGTGTTCCCTTTTATCATGCTAGTCATAGGACTTCCATTGACATATCTATTGAGTATAGTAATTACTGAAGTCACTAGAAAGGGTTTGGCAAGAAACCCATTTTGCTCTGCAGGGGCTTACTTTCTCTGGCCAAATGGCAAGAGTGGCCAGCCCAGAAGGTGGGCTCAAAAGCCTTGGGACATGTCTTACCTACATTTAACATTTTCTCACTTGTCCAAGACAGAGAGATACTCTTACTATTCTCATAGCACTGGGAGAGCACTGATGGGATAAAAGTGAGGAGATTTCAGTGTCACACTACAGGATAATAGAACAACAGTTAGCTCCCTATGTAGGAAAAGTGCTCCTAAGACTTCTAATAGCAGTGAAAAAGGGAGAGCTGAAATCATGGCTGGGCACACCTTCTGCCTGCTCCAGCAGAGAGGGCTGCAAACTCAGGAGAGAGCCTTGCGCAGAGTGAAGGTTCTGGGCTGTTGGTGGAAGTTGTGTGAGCTGGCATCAGCCCCAGTTAAATGAATCATATGAAATGAAACAAACACAGTGCATCCACACCTGGGTCTTACTCAGTTTAGTGGGGTTTGTGCTACACTTGTGCATACCATTTGTATACTCATGTCTCCATTCACCAGAGACACTGATTTCACTTCTCATTGGAAACCTCTGTGCTGCAAATTGATTCTCCTTAGTTCTGTTTCCCAATTTTCCATGAGATTAATAATTTGTAGAGAAATATGAGCTACTGTGAAGTATAGTATATATACCCTCCATTTACTAAAATCATTTGTTCCCCTGACATTAGACCAAAGAAGAAACAGAAAAATCAGAAAAACTCATATTTTTGCAGAAGGGAGGTGCTACATTCCTTGAAATGCAGGTAAAGACAAACAATACTTCATTGAAATGCAGTCAGAAAGGATGGCAATGATTTATTTTTTTATTATCTTTTTTTCCTTTCCAAGCCCTCCCTTTTCATATTTTTTTTTATTGTTATTATTTACTAAGTTCCAGGCAGAGATATAATCTGGAGACCAAATTCTGAGGAATGGGTCATCTCCAGAGCTTATGGCTTCCTAATGGAGACTGATTTCTCTGCCAGTTAGAAACCTACTTGCACGGTGCTGTTTGGATGTTGTTTGCAGTTTGCATGCATTTCCAGCATAAACCTCACTGAGAACGTTACGGTGAATGAGGCCCTTCTGTCACGAGAATGCATTTCCTTTATATTGTCAACCGAACTTAGATTATGCTGAGTGATGGTGAACTTTATATTTTTGTTGGTTTTTCTATTAGCCAAGTGTGATAGAGAAGAAGCTGCAGGAAGGAGAATCTGCTGGCACTTTGGTTACTTCTCATCAAATCATTATCCAGAAAAGTATCCCATCATCCCTAGAGGTTATTTTTAATTCATTTGATTTTAAACTACATCATTTGCTTAGTTAAATACAGAAGTTACAGTCTTAAAGTCAAATAACTGGATGCTGATTGCATAGTCAAAGCAAATCACCTAGCACATTTGCACAAGAAAAAAGATGCTGCAATTAAGTTTCATTCAGAATTTTTAGTTGTATGCTTAGTTTATACAGTTTGTGGTGTTGTGCTTCTCCATTTAAACAATCCTGAAGGGTGTTGATGTTCTAATGAAAACAAGGAAATTCAGTGCAGGCTACATACAGAAGAGTACTATTCTAAAACGTCATTAACAGCATGTTTGTAACAACTAGGCTACAGATGAATGGGCTTATTTGCCCTATTTTTGTAATTTGTTTTTGACTGTAGCTTTGTGAACCACTGCAATATGTGATTTTTAACCCCAGGTTGATTCCAATCACCACTATAATTATGTGCTGACATGCTATTTTGCTTCAAACAAATACAGAAATAGTGTGGCAAAAGTAATATTTTTGGGCCCATAATATATGGACCTCTGAAGAAAGAGAATATGCCAAAAAATCATATTTTGCCTAAGGTGATTCTGTTTATTTTGCTTGATAACTGCTGTAAGAGGTACAATGCTAGAAGTTACTATATGCTTTCAGAAGAAGCAACATGCTTTCTTAAAAGTCTGCATAAATTAGTGCTCCTGAAGTAGAGATAAACCTGCAGATATTCTAATTTAGCTTTTATATCTCAAATATAGGGCACTGAGGATTGGGTTATTATAGACAAAATACCCTCTGAGGTAGTTGATGGTGAATCGGAAAAAAATCTGGCCTACAAAGTAGTGACTGTGAGCAGTAAAACTGCCTTTCCACCTGAGGTATTAAAATCCAGTACCATTCTAATGCAGAGCTTTGAGGACTTGGAAAGTGAAATACAATCCAATGACGAGAATAAGCAGAAAATGTGCACCCTAGGAAAGTCCTATGATACCGTATCTGGGAAAATTGTAACCATGACAAGTAAAGCTAAAGAGGGCGAGAAAGCGGTACAGCCTTCAGGAGAAACTTTGCAAAAACTGGAAAGGGAAGTTCAAGAATCTGTGAAAATCGTTCCAACAGTGGCCAAGTATGAAATCCTCCAGCCTGTCACTGATGAGAAAGCCAGGCGGGGATCTGATGTGCAGAGCACGAGAAGAAAGCTGTCTGACTCTCTGACACCCATAAAGGAAGCAGAATCTCAGTTGCAAAGTCCTGAAGAGGAGAGTTTGAAAAAGACACTGAGGATGGACCAGGATTTGCAGTTACTTGGTACACTGGAAAACTTACAGCTTGGCAAAGCAGAAAAGCATCTTGGTGGAGAAGCTGTAAAAGCAAGGGCATTTTCCCGGACAGATAAGAGCCTGTCTGAGTGGAGATATTCCAGAGAACAGCCATTTACCATTGCTACTGCTCACTATGTTACTGAGTCGTCTGCATCAAAAGTAGTGGTAACAAGTGGCTTTGACTTCACGCCACGATTTAAAGATAAAAGCATGACTTCTTTTAGGCAATCCCTTCACACCACCCTAGCTTTGAGTTCTCTTGCTGCCTGGCTTTATGTTGACAGCAGCCAACCCAGCTTATTTTTTTTCTCTCATACTTTGAATCCGTCTCACAGTCTGAAGCAGACATTATATGAGGCTTTCAGCCTTTCTGGTTTATGTACTGAAATTCAGTATTGCTGCTGTGGCTTGTTAATAGAAGAAAAAAAAAAAAAAGGTTTGCTTGAACCAGCAAAACGCCAATGCTAACAACTATGCTTTGTAACTATTGCTTACTACAGCCATTATGAATTCGCTCTGATTTATTTTCCCATTCTTTTCCTGTTTCCAACCTCTCCGTGCCCCTGCAACCTTCTCTCCTTTTCCTCCGTCTCCACCTCTGGTTCTGGCAATTAATATGTCTGTGCATATGGGTCTGCCTTTTTTCTGTGTATGACTTTACATTTCTTTGTCTGTTTAGACTAAACAGTCCACCAGTGAAAAAACCTTGGATGGTTCAGATATCTTCACTTTAATAGAGTCCGCCAGAAAACCAACTGAGTTCATAGGAGGGGTTACTTCTACTTCCCATACCTGGACTCAGGTGGCTGCTTGATTCCCTCTATCAGTGTCATAAACATGCACCAATTAGTTTTGCTTTTCTGTTATTTTGTGGGGTTTTGCACAATATGGAACTGTATAACTAATGCATGTATTTATGTGTGTTTTCTTTTGATTAAGCAGACCACAACAGAAACTTCACCAAAAAGGAAAAAAAAAGAAAAAAAAGACAACAACCACCTTTTATTTCATTTCATTTTGGTCATTTCACAGGGTGCTGTATTTTGCCTTTGTAAAACTTATACAAAAATACCAATGAGAAGAACACTGACATCGAAATTTCTCACCGCTTTTAAAAATTTTGCTTCTTGCTTTGTTTTCCATTTCTGCTGTACTGATAACATCTTGAGACCAAAAATCTATGCAATGTGGAAGAAATAACTTGGCAAAATATAATGCCCTTTTTTTTAATTTATGTTCACAGTACATTAAGCTTCAGTGCTACTGCAAATAGTGTTGTCTGCTTCTGATGCTGAGGGTTTTTTCCTTTTTCCCTGCAGAGAATAGACACGACGACGTCTCAGGAGATAACTTCCAGTGACATGAAGCAAGCAGTTCAGCCGGATCAGGATACAGTGCAGAAGGTTGTACAGGAGACTGTAGTTGTCAAGGAGAGACATGGGATGGAGGTGCATGCAGGCGGGGATCCTGCTAAAGTGGCCGGACTTACGCTGGATGCCCAGGCTGAGGCAGCGTCGGCGATGGCTGCCGGCGCGAAAGGGAAGGAGGGCTCTGCTGGGACTGAGGGGGCGAAGGAGGAAAAAAGGGAGGAGGCTGGGAAAGCCCTAACCAAAAAGGAAGGAGTCGCTGCCGCTGCTTCGTGTGAGCAGGCGGAGGAGCACAGAACAACAGTCCAACTTTCAGAGTCTTTGGAAAGAAAACCTCATTTTGAGGTAACTTGTTGTTAAATTGGTCGTGTCTGTGCTGAATTGTGAATGTAGGCAATAGTAGGCTAAGTTAATTACTGTCTTTGAAAGTTAAGTGTGCCCAGCTTGTATGATTGCACTTTTATAGAAAGCAGGTTTTTTCTCCTCTTATTTCCTCCTTGCATGTCACCCGCAAGGCTTGCTGCTGGTTTCCATCATTAGCAAAATGCCATGCATGTTTTTACTTGTAACTGCTTTCCATGCTGCATAGAAATACCAAATTTCATGGCATTTTATGCAACAGATAACAAGATCAGCTGGCGTTCTGTTTGGGAAAGTCCATCAAGGTTGGCAAAGTTCACATGTCCCCAAAGACAGGAAACAGATTGTTTTTTCCATGCTTGGTGCAATTATATGTAAGTGTACTGTGTCTTAAACAGACCAGGTTCCTTATTTTAGCCCCATTAGTAGAATTTCAATAGCTGTTTTGTGCAGGGCTTTTTCCCCAGAGATAAAAAGACTAAGCCTGGACAGAATTAATTCTCTTGTCATTTTAAGAAAATGTAGAATCACAGATTCTCAGAACTGCTGAGGCTGGAAGGGCCCTCTGGAGGTCCTCTGCTCCAATCCCCTGATCAGACAGGGACATCCAGAGTGAGTTGCTGCCCAGGACAATGTCCAGAGTGCTTCTTCTAAGTATCTCCAAGGAAGGACATCCCACAATATCCTTGGGCAACCTGTGCCAATGTCACTCTCACAGTGAAAAAGTGTTTCCTCATGTTCTCAGGGAACCTCTTGTTGTTCAAGATGTGACCATTGCCTCTTGCAGTATTTAGAGCATTTTGAAATTTGTTTCTGTAAAATCCAGGGAAGTGCTAAATGTCGACAGCATTATATACATGAATGTACCACTGTAATTAAGAGAATTTTCTCCTCTTTTTTTTTTTTTTAATGCAGAACACTTTTTAGTTATTCTTTCTTTGCCCCAAGTAAAAAAAAATTAATTCTGAGAAATCCATAAGCTTTGCTAAATGTTCCAATTCCTTCTTTTTTTTGTTCATGCAGTCACCGGTTGTGAGGACTGAGACTATAAGTTTCAGCAGTGTTCCCGCTGGTGGGGAAACCCTTGAAATTTCAACAAAGGAAGTGCCAGTAGTCCATACAGAAACAAAAACCATTACATATGAGTCTTCTCAGGTAAGAAATTCTGCAAAAAACATCTAATTTAATGTGCCTTTAAGGAACCCATTTATTCACCCATCTTTAAGTGTGTGCTTTAGTGTGAACTTCTCTAAGTTGCTCAAGTATTTAACATTAGCATGAGGAGGATGTACATAAGATTAACTTACCTGAGGGTCACTCTCACGTCCTGGTGTAGGGCCTTTGCAGAACATTGATTAAACTGCAGATTTAAAAATGCCATCTTCTCATCTGTGCTTCCAGAGGGGAAGGACAGCCTCCAGATGCACAGAGAAATACTGGCACATGGTCGCCCTAATAGCAGTTTTCCCCTACCATAAGATACTCACTTTATGAAGAACTGTAGAAACAGAGAAGTTTAACAGTCCAGTTCTTGATTCCCTGTGCTCAGGATAATTTTTTTGGTGACTGGTTTTTCTCTTCTGGTTTCTAGGTGGATTGCGGTGCTGACTCTGAACCAGGTGTATTGATGAGTGCACAAACAATCACATCTGAAACCACCAGCACTACAACTACTACACATATCACCAAAGTGAGTCCTCAGAAAACAGGGAGCTCCTCTTTCACCAGGGTGTATGCTATCTTAGCTTTGGTTCTATGGTTTATTTCAGAAAGGAAACACATTCTGATACTCTATTGACAAAATGTTGTAAATTTACCATAAATACTTGTCTTTATTCACCTGTCTTTGGCTATGCTGAGTTGATTAACACATCATTCAATGACTTGACATGAATCCTAAACCCTTAAGGTATGTCTGTGCAAGCACAAAACCTTGCTGTACAGAAACACTTGATTTAGCTGCAAATGCTACCTGGAACTGGAAAGAGTATAACCACATTGGCATATTCCTGGAAGGAGTAACTTGTCTGAACATGAGGCTCTGTTGATGACTATGCCTTTCAGCACTGAGATTAGCACTGCACAGTGTTGAAAGCACAGAGTGAATCCATATCCTGTAGCCGTAACAGGACATTCAGTCAGCTCCAACACCTTGGCTGTGTTTCTGGCTGGTACCCTGAGGAACTTGCCCACAGCCAGACCAGAAGCTCATCTGCACAGACAAACCATGCTGTGTCTTCCAGGTTCTAAGGTAGCATTTAAATAACAGTTCCTCCCTAAAAAGAAACTCTCTTAGTGCTGTGACAGCTCTCCTACCAGTATTCACTGAGAACAGGATTTCATCTTTCTACAATGAAGTTCCCCCATTAGTAGATGAGCCATGCAATGGCCATGCCACCCCGTATGCCATTCTGAAGCAAGCAGTTGGACTTAAATAGGTCTGAATATGGGACTGTCTGTATTCCCATTCTGTTTTTCATGGGAAAAGTTTGCCATTTTTGACATACAAACATCTCTCTTGATGCATGTGCAGTTTAACTTGAATTATAAAATTACCTGTGTTGGAAGGACATCTGGAGGTCATTAGTCCATTCAAAGCACTCAGGCCAACTCCAGAGCTGCTCACTTGCAGTCCAGGTTGTCCCCTCTTTGAGCTGTTTTGGTCCAGTCATGAGAGGGTTCCTGCACTGATCATTCTGGGGATGAGTAGCAGCACTCTAAAGTGAGTTACTGACATGCATTTTTGTCCCTCCCATCTAGACTGTGAAAGGAGGCATCTCAGAAACAAGAATTGAAAAACGAATAGTCATCACAGGAGATGCAGATATTGATCATGATCAGGTAAAATCTACAAACTGCTAAAAGGCTACCCTGAAGACTGAAAAAAAAGAACATTTCTAAACATTGGTTTGACAGATATTACCCTTACTGGCATGCCTTATATTAAACTGGAATAGTAGTTAAATCAGTGATGGTATATTTCATATTTTAATCATTTTCCTCATTTGTAAATTGTGTAATATGTCATGAATCTCTCCACCTTGCTATTGATCATGCATGTTCCACCTCCTTTTTGTTTTTGCCCTTCTGTGGTTTCCTTGGGATAGGCGCTGGCTCAGGCAATTAAAGAAGCCAAAGAGCAGCACCCTGACATGTCAGTGACCAAAGTAGTGGTACATAAAGAGACAGAAATCACACCAGAAGATGGGGAGGATTGACCACAGGTAAGAGGACCAGATGATTTTCCTAGGCATTTACTGGGCTGGCATGTTGCAGATGTTGTTTTCCTACCATATTTCACCTTTAACTCTTCACTTTCTCTCACTGGCATTTTCAAGTTGCTAGTTATCAGTTCTGATATTTTAAAGTAAACCACATTCAGCTGTAGACATCTGCCTTCATTAAACAGTGCCAGCTGGAGAAAGAGAAGCTACTCATTTGCTTTCGTTGGCTCTCTGAAAAGTCCTCATTGTCCATGCTTTGTTACAGTCTAATTTTCTACTTCTGAAGTCATAAAAAATCTGTTCTCTGCTTTTGTGTCATTTAAGAACAAAAACAATTTGTTCTTAAAGGTGTGCATTTTTGTTTAAAAATGCCAAGGGAAAAAAACCTACAGCTGCTTTTTAAATGTCTTGTGCAGATATGTTAAAAGTTGTGCTTCAATTCCCAACTTGCAAAGATATGGTCCAACTTGCTTTTAAACACAGTGAATTAGTTTGTCAGTATTTGGGTGTCTTGGCTTTCTTGTACTTGAAAGAACATTTAATGTTTTAAAGCAGCATTGTTTATCAGGATGAGATGATAAAGCTGCTTTCCTTGCGTCCAGCTTTTTCTCAGCAAAGGCATGCTCTCCAATAGTGGCTGGCTAAACAGACATCTCAATATTCCTATATTTATTCTGTGTGCAGAAACATGTCATGCATACTAACCTGCTATGCAAAAGCTCTTAATGCCAGCACCATTGCGCAAATTGCTTTGAATGCTGTATGCAGAAGGGGAAGAAAAAGCTGCTTGTCAGATTTGTTGAATCGATAGCAGCATTTTATTCTTAAAACAATATGTATTCCGTAGCACTTGGTGTAAGTAACAGAGTATAATGCACAGCACCTTTTGAAGCTCTTTGGCTCTCCTGCTTTTGGATATACAGACCCTAAAGAAAACTGAATTTCAGTGTCAGTTATTTATTTGGAAGATGGAACCAGTCACTAAGGAGTGAGTAGCTGTGATTCTTGTGGTATTCTGCTAATTGTTTCAGAGACAGCTCAATGTGGCTTGCTTAAAAGTCTATTGATGTCGCTAATTCTTTCCATTGGCATCAGTGGACTTTGGATTTGGTCCAAGTTGCTTATAGTGGGACATGCCATTTTCAAAAAGCTTTTCTTGTATGAACAAATTGACAAATCTCTTTTGCAAGAGAGTAGTTGCTTTGAATAATTAACTCAGTTCTCTTTTCTGCAGGAATAACCTAGAATGCATATGAATCCAGACATGCATACCAGTAGGAATACGAGAACCTATACGGAGTCTCAGTTCCAACCTGACTGACTTGTATCTGTCTATGGAAAATTTCAGTACAGAAGAATTGATCTTGACCGTTAATAAAGAAACTGGCAGAGATACCTTCCCATAGAAAGCAATCTGAATCAGCAGCAGTTAAACAATATTGCATGAAGCAACAATAAAATTACAGAAAAGCAGCATTTTTAATTTTCTTAAAATGTCTAAGTTTTCAGCTTTACCTGCACGTTCATAAACAATATAAACAGTGATCTCATGTAACACATAAACAGTTCATGCCTTTCACAGTTTCTGAAAGTCTAAACAAATTAAAATTTGCTAGGTGGCAAGCCTTTTGTTTACGGATACTGTAAATGAAGATTACCCCGAAAATGCTAGAAGCTGTATAGGTACTGTGTATAATGTTTTACCACACGTTAGATGTGCCAATAACACAGTTTATTCAGTAAACAACTTGAATCTTATATTTGTTTCATCTGGTTTTATTACTGCCCCATAAACAATGATGAATCTTTACTCTTATCAAAACATATAAATGCTTACAAAGTGTGCTTTGTATACCTGACTGAATACCTTATGAGGTAGCAATGATTTTAGTATATTAACTTTAATGATTTTTGTCAGCATTGTTCAGAGTCAGCTTCCAGTCACCCTTCACAGATCCTAACCTTGTAAATTATATGTAGTTATTTTGGAGAAAAAAAAAAATCTGTATTTTACTTAGTTTGCAGCTTTAGAAAATTATTAATCTGAAATAACCGTGATGGTTTTCTATTGATTTCCATTTTGTTCTCAGAGAAAAAAAAAAATTTGTTTGAGAATCTGGTCAGCATTTACTATCTAGTTCTGAGTCAAGCCTTAACCTGTACAGAACGTCCACTGAAAACTCGCTAGTGTCCAGCTCTAATACCCACGGAAGGAATAGCGTCCATTACACTGTCAGCTGCATCACAACACATGGTGAATGTATGTTTCTGCATAGTGAAATAAAAGTGGTAAATGCATCTGAAATTGTATTGTTCTGTGTCTAAAAGCACCTAGTGGTCCTTAGTATTCAAAACATCAAAATGTTATGTTTGTAAGACACCACAGGTTTCACTCATGTGCACAGTAGATGTGTTTTGTCTTCAGTGGCTGACACTGCACTGTGCAGACAGTGGGAGTTGGTGGAGAATCCAAAGGGATGACAGTGTTCACCTTTGGGCATATGATGTTTGCAAAGGAAAAGGACTGTTTGGTTCCTTCTGTTTTCTCTGGTTGTGTAACATTTCATCGAAGATAAATGAAGAATTTTGTTGTTGCTTAGAAAGTAAAGGCCAGTAGCGCTTGATCCAGATCCACTCTCTTTTTGTACTTTGGCTCTGAAACATGGATAAAATTCTCTTTAAAGCAGTATTACTTATTGGTTCCTTTTTTTTTTTTTTTTCTCCTTTGCTGCATCTCACTGACGCTCCCCTAGTAGTTTAAGAGAAATTTGTAAGGATTAGTTCACCCTTTAGTCTGTATTTCCTTGCAGGATTGAAAGGCAGTGGGTACAAGCAGACTTTTCAGGACATAAAGGGCCAAATTTGCCCTTCGTTGTTTACACGGGGCTCCCTCCCACTGAAGTCAATGGATTTGCCTTCAGTGGAGAGCAGGATTTGACCCAGTGACTTGTTAATAAATGTTTATTTTCATAATTTAGAAAGAAAAATAGTATATATAGAGAGAGTAACCTGTAGATAATAATTAAAAGTAATATCACAAGACTTTTAAAGCTTTGCCCTTAGTCTCCAAAACATCTTCCTTCCACCAGCCATTCTTCATGCCTTTAAATCTGGAGTGCTAACGATGTGACCCCTCCCTGCCCCGCCGTCATTGTTACCTCTCACCTAATGACCGACACAAAGCTGACGGTCTGCTGTGATCTTTGATGGCCCTCTCCTCCTCCTCCTCCTCCTCCTCCTAGCCCAAGACCATCTCTGTTCTCATCCCCCTGAGTGACAGTAGGCTCAGCTCTCTGGTGCTGCTGGTGCCCAGCGGCGGTCGGGGGTGGAGGATGTCCTCACCCTGTCTCGGCCGGTGGCACACCAGGTCCCCACTAGTGCATCAGGAGTTTAAAAATAGACTCTGAAGCCATAATGATCCTCCTTCAGGTGCCCCTCATGTTGTCAGCTAAGGAACAGCATTGTATTACCTCAGAGAGACATGAGGCGATCGCACAGCCTTCTCTCCAGAGTTAGCATTATATTTTAGCATGGCTTGAGGAGATTGTACTCTGGTGATCCTGCACAGTATGTACGCTGTCTAAAGATATATTGCATTGTAGGAAGTTAGTCTCCTTGGAAAGGACACTCACCACTAAGATACTGCCTAAGCGCATATAAACTATGAGGAGATGAGAGTGGACAGGCAAGGACATCTCAGTGCCACTGTTGGTAGTAGACCCTTGTTTGGGGGATGGTTCCTGGAAGTTATAGCTTTGGTTTTTGTTGGAAACTGTTTCTTGGGTTGTCTGCCTAATGCTGTGCCACATGAAATAAAGAGCACCTGCCTGTTTCTACCAACCAGCTTTTGTCTCCGTCTCTTCTCATTTATTGTTGGTCTTTGTCTGGCTTCTCAACATAAACCAACCTGGAAAACAAACCATCAGTGTGTTACTTGTGGGCAGCATTGCCAACACAGGCACCAGCATGGGAGGCAGCCTTAGCTGCTACAACTGGAATCCCAGCTTCAATCCTGAGAAAACTGACTACTCTGAGCTATTATGGTAATGGCTTTGCACACCAGGCAAGAATGGGCATGGCCAGTGACCACAGAAATAGTGACCATCACACATACAGGAAGAGTGAATACATCACACTGACATTTTTTAAAGCTGCTTGGAATTCCTTAACATTTATGCCCCTGAAGTTTTTTAAGGCTGTCTCATCACAAATGGCAAGTAATGGTGTTTCTGTGCTCAAGCAAATATAAAAAACACTTAATGAGCTTCTAAATCCATATACTAGATCAAAGCAAGGGTTTAACAGCTTAGCCTTATTTCTTCCCAGAGCAGATTTAGGCAGCTGGTGAGATGATGTGCTTCATCTGTACAACAATTTGTATCAATTTGCAAAAATGATAGTCCCTGATACATAGTTCTTCATGGCATATAAATTGGACATTGAGTCCACGCTTCAGTTTGGCAATCACACTGGCAAGTCTTGCTGCAGGTTTCTTTCCTTATACCAGAACAGTTCTGTCAGTTCAGATCAGAAAATCCATTTACAAGCTTCACCTTCACATGTTCACAGGAATTAAGGACAAGATAAAGAAATGCATTCCCCTTTTTTATACCAGAGCAATAATGGTTGAGATTCTTCAGAACTAGGAATCAAATCATTATTTTTAATAATGTTTCCTGGTTATTAAATGCTGAGATCTCCTGCAGGCCTATATAGATCCCAAGGTACAGTGGTGGTTTGAGGTACTATGGATGGACTATGGCTGGACAAGTGGATTGCTTTGAGAAACACTAACTCAATTTCTTATGTTATTTTTAAAGAAAGAAAAAAAAGCACTTTTCTTAAATCTATAGATTCCAAAGGCTATATCAATCCTACACTGCCAAAAGTGGGTTTCCTGTGTCTTTTGTCACTCATGTTACGCTACATCAGCAAAGTGTGCCTGTGGTTGTTCCAGTGCCTCAGAACGACACAAAATACCAGCCTTCCTAATTAAAACTCAGTCATACTTAAAATGACTGTTATTATTTGTGCATCTTGTAGTTCCATCTCAAGGATTTACAAATAGATAAACAATGGGGCATCTTGTTAGTTTTTCCATAAAAATACATTCCATAAGTTTCTGTATTCACTAACTGTAACCAGATTATTCCACTACCTTGGAATAATGTTAGCCCCTGCTCAGACTGTACATTAGTCTGGTTTATGCCTTTTGTTTCCACGCTTTTTTCTGACTTCTATTCAACATCAGCCTTGCTCCTCATCTGGAACTTACAGTTCCTGAAAGGGCTTCTGGAGCAGAATTTCAAAAATCATTGTTTAAAGAGAAACCAATGTGCACAAATTACACAAAAAAAAAAGTCAGTCAACTTTCTTCCATTATCTCATGTTCCCAAATTCAGCTATAACCTCCATAAATCAGTGACCTCACCCTTGCAGATGAAATGATCATCACTCACTGTAAGTAGAATTAATGGCCTGTCTTTGAGCATGACTACAGTGACATAAAAGGGAAAAGAAAAATGAGAAAGAGTTCTGACACTGGAAATTGTTTTCATTTTTAAATACATTAGATTTTTATTTCTACAGTCTACCAGCTCTACTTTCTCCAGTACAAAACTTAAATTATAAACCTTGTATTCTTGGGTGGGGTGGGTTTTCTTTTTTTTTGTCCAGAGTTGGCTAGGAATTTCTTTTCTATTTTCTAGAAGTATCTCTGCTGTCTGCTGTGGTGAGGTGAGGTGTACCATGACTCTTAACTTCTGTGCATAACCAAAGCTTGGGCAATGTCAACTAGTAGGAGCTGCAAAAAAGCAGATCCCAGAACGTGCACAGGTTTTGAGCTGCCTGAATTACAACCCAGAAGGTGTGTTTCCACACAAGTCTTGCCTTACAGTGCACATGTAAAGTACTGGCCATCTGTTATTTGGTGGATAATCCTGGGTGGCTATAATGTAAAAGATAAAAGATCAGACAAAGCACATTAAAGGGCTCAGGGAAGGGTGTATCATAAATTGTACAAAAATGCAAAGAAACAAAGCAATACGTCTGAGTATACAAAGCAAATAATTAAGACCTTTCAAAGCCTTTTCTAGTAGGAATAGTCCAGCTAATATGATGTTTCCTTAAATCAAGGGTTTTTCTAGCCCAGAAGTCCTTTCTCAGTGGATTTATGAGGCTGTTTCTCAGACATACTGTTTTCCTGGCCAAACAGTTGATGCATTTGGCATACGAAGGCTTCTAAAGGCATTTATATTCCTGTAGTCCAATCTCCAATCAATATACAACTTAGATGGATGTGAATCATTTTGTATTGTCACAGAGGTGGTGACAATTTAACCACTCATCTTTGGAGCTCCTAAATCCTAAGCTATTGGACTAACATACACACATACTTCCACAGAACATTATTTGTTCTAAGGGTATCTTGATGAAATCAACCTTGAATATCCATTAAAAAATGTATTTTTCCTTTGGTTTGTTTCTTTCCATTCAGAATGCCATCTGGTGATTGACATGTAACAAGATATTTTTCCTGCAATCAAATGAGATGTCAGTACAGGTATTTTTGACATATCATTCTATAAAAAGGAACAACACAAAAACACTGCAACATGTAGCCTGATATCATAGAAATAAATTACTGACTTGAATACCTGTGTGATATGGTTCTTGTAATGGGGACACATCTGCTTACTCTGGGAAGAGAGCCTGTAATAGTTATCCCATCACCTCGCAGTTATTTTAAACTCTTTTTGTCCCTTCTTTCTTGTTTTCATATTCTCCAACTTAATCCACCTGTATTTGATCTGTCAGGCTTCTCTCTGTATCTTTTCTTCTTCCAACTCTTCTCCCAGCTTTTAAGCAAACTGCATCTGATGCTTCTCTTTCTATTAATTTTGCTGTTGCTTCTCTACACCTATCAACCTTCTTTAAAGTCTTACTAATTCTCTGTCCTGCAGTCTTCCCAACTCATCCATAACCAC